GAAGGAGGGCGGCAGCTTCCTGCAGTGCATGGGGGTGATGTGGCCGTACTTCCTCTCCAGCCGCTGGGTCCGGCCGCCGGCCGCCCGCGGGGACAGGCAGCGGTGCACGCCGTACTCGAAGAGCTCGGCCAGCGGCCCCAGCCTGTGCGCGGCCCCCGGGCTGCCCCGCGGGGCCTCGGGCTGGGCCCCGGCGCTCCGGGGTGACTCGCAGTCCTTGGGCACGGGCTGGGTGCCGGCGGCCTCCTCCCGGCCCCGCCGCCCGAAGTACCGCTGGATGTCACAGCTGATGAGCTCCGAGAACTTGAGGAGCCGCAGGGTGGTCTCGGCAGTGCTGGAGATGGCCGGCTCTGGCCTCACACTCTCCTCTGCTGCCTCCACTTCCTCCTCCTCCTCCTCTTCCTCCTCTTCTTCCTCCTCCTCCTCGGAGAGGTTGTGGAAGTCGGGCTCAGGGTGTGCGGGCAGCAGGAGGCCGTGTGGGAAGGGCGAGGGCAGGCGCAGCTCGGCCAGGGGCTGGATGACACCTGCAGCCATGTCAGTGCTCAGGGCCACCCCGGGGCCTGGGCTCACTCTGAGGGCAGGACAGCGGGGTGAGGGTGACACAGCATGGCATCGTCCCCAAACCACGGCCCTGCAGCCCTGAGGTGGCAGCAGATTGTGTGGTGCCACACCATGGCCAGGGTGGGGCTGCAGGGCAGTGGGGTTGTCTCCCACAAGAGCAGTGGGATGTGGGGCATTGGGGATGTCCCCACCAAGCCATGGGATACAGGGGAGTGGAGATGTTCCCCCTGGCACATGGGGCAGCAGGGACATCCCCACTGAGCACTGAGACAGCAGGCAGCAGGGATGTCCTCACCAAGACATGGGATATGAGGCAGCAGGGATGGCACCCCTCCCCAAGCCATGGGACATGGGGCAGTGAGGATATCCTAACTGAACCCCAACAGCCAACAGAGATGTCCCCATCAAGCCATGGGATGTGGGGCAGCAGGGATGTCCACCTGAATCCATGGGATGCAGGACAATGGGAATGTCCCTGGGTCATGGCATATGGGGCAGCAGGGATGCTCCCACAAAGTCATGGGATGTAGGGCAATGGGAATGTTGCCCTGAGCCTTGGGCCAGGGGTCAGTGGGGACATCCCCCAGAGGTGATGGGCAGTGGGATGTTCCCCTTCAGCCCAGGGCTGCACATGGAGGTGAACGGGGCTCATCTCAGCACCCATCCCACCACCCTGTGCTCAGCACCCACCCTGCCATCCCAGGCTCAGCACCAGGGACATAGAGCCCTGTGTCCTGCTCACAGAGTGGCCTCATGGGTTCCCCTGTGATGTGGTGAACTCACCACCTCCCCACACCACCCTGGTGGGCTCCAGCCACGACTGAGTCTTGCTGAGCTGGATGAGACCCCTCTGTAGTTCATGCTACCTGTGCTGAGAAGCCCCCAGCCTTACCTTGTTTCAGGGCACCCCTGGTCACCAACCTGGCACTGCCATCACCCCAGCCCCAGCCCTGGCAGGGCACAATTCCTGGGGGACCAATCCTGCTCCAGCCACCCCAAACATGGTGCTGGGCCATATACCCAGCCTAGGAGATTGTCCTTGCCATCTCTGGGGTCACCATGCACCCCTCTTAGCGCTGTCCCCACTGCGGGCCCCCTGGCCCTGCCTCCGTGCTGTCCTGGGGTGGGCTGTGGGGGGCTCAGACACCCGAGGCACTCTCCGGACTGTGGGCAGAGCAGAGTGGGGCCACCCCAGTGATAGAGTCAGGCCACCCCACTGCCACCCTCAGCCGGGGAAACACCGCGGTGCCGGAGGGCATCGCCCGGGGGGGGCCGCGGCTCACACTCACCTTGGCGCTGCCGCCCGGCCATGCAAAGGCTCCCGCGCCGCTCCCCCTGCCCGTCCCTCCACCTGGGCCTGAAGTATTTATAGCGGAGCGGGAGCTGGCGGCTGGCAAATATTTGGTAGCCGTATTGTAATAGTAGACTCGGTAAACAGAGCCGGGGTTTGCTTTAGCACCCAGCAACGGGAGAGCGGCGCGGGGAGGGACGCGGGGACGGAAGGCAGGGCTCACCTTAATGGTTCACTAGCCAGGGGATTTTCAAGTGTTGTCCCTGTAAATTCACCTATTAAATCGGCAGCCCCAGCTGCCAAACTGCCCGCACACTTGTGCCGAGGGCTCTTATCTCCCTGCTGATTGGAAGCGAAATCAAGCTTTGTCAAATAGGCGTAAAATTAAATTTCATGCTATTTTGACTCCTGGAGTAGGGATCTTCTGAAGAACATACTGCGTATGGAGCGATGCCTCTGCAAACAGGGGCTGCTGCTGCAGTGGGCAAAGCCTCTCTGTGGGGTCTCCACCCAGGTGCTGCAGGTTCAGACCCCCTATCTCAAATCCTTCTGCCCCCCCGAGGTGGATGTCGGGCTCCCTGACCAGCCTCAGGAGGGTTTTTGGAACCTGTGCATACAAAGGTGGACATGCTGTGTGGAGAATGGTTGGGCCAGCCCCACAGCACTTGGATGGCAGCACTGTCACTGTGAATGGGGCACTGGGGTGCCCTGTGTCTCTGCTCATGGCCTGTGGTCCTGCTGCCCCACACAGCACCCGAGGGGCTGAGGATGGTGACAATGGGAATCAGCTCGGATCATAAGGAGGCTGTGCCAGAGGTCCTGGTTTTGTTTTGGCAGTGGGATGTGCCAGCAGGGCTGCCTGGGGCAGCACAGAACACGGCCAGGGGACATGGAAAGCTGGGGGATGCAGGGTGCCCGGGGACATGGGATGGTCAGAGGACACAGGGCAGCCTGCCCCTGACAGCAGGATGGGCTTGACACAGTGCCTGGACTCTGCCACCAGTGCTGGGGACACACAGGGAGTGGGGACAAAGGCTGTGGGGGTTGGGGACAGGCACAACCCTGCTACAGAGCTGCCCTGCTCTCCTGTTCTTGGGGTGACCACAGCTCCCTCAGAGCCCTTCCTGCCCCCTGCCCCGAGCACCCTGTGCTGAGCTGTCTCTGGGTGCCGAGGTAGGTTCCCCAGCCCCTGGCACGGTGCAGCACTGGCGAGGGGAGTGCCGTGGCTGTACCCATCCCCTCCCCGGGGCGGCAGCCTCGGGACACCCTGCGGGAGCAGGTGCGGGAGCACCGGCTCCCTAGAACTCCCTCTCCTCTCTCCAAACACTGGCAGAGCCGGGCGGGAGCAGCCATCAGGCATCAGACATCAGCCATCCCGCCCGGGCACCGCTGGGCAAACACGGCGGGTGGGGGCTGATAAGCCACGGGCACCCTCCCTGACGTCATCCATTGTCACCCACCCGCCCGGCACGGCTTGACGTGGCCACCGGCTGCATCCCTGGGGAGCCTGATCCCACCGTCAGGGTCCACAGGGAAGGGGGGCTTCCTCTGGTGTTCCCAGCCACTGCTGCCCCAGACCGTCTTCCTGCAGTGCAGGAGCTGGGGAGAGCTCACAGAGCCTCTGGCTCAGCCTGGCTGGGAGGTAAGGGCTGCACCAGCCCTTTGTCTGGGTGGAGAGGGTCTGGTCGTGCTGGCGAGGGGCTCCAGGGGTGGGGCAGGGTGTGGGGAGCACAAGGCTTGGCTCACAGAGCTGGGAGCGATGAGGTGTCCATCCTCTGGAAGGAATAACACGCATTTAGGGAGCACTCAAGGCTCAGCAGGACCGTTCCGGGGGCGAGCCTGAGGGAGAGGCAATGCCACTGCCCCTGCAGCAGGCTTGGGCACGTGGTTTTGCATCCATTTGAGGGCCCAGGGTGGCCATCCCTGCTCCAGGCTTTGCCAGGTCCAGGCATGAGAAGCTCCCATTGCACAGGGAAAGGGTCTCCTGCCTCCAGAGACGCCACAGACAAGCAGGGTGTTCGCAGCCCTCACTCGAGGGTTGATCCTGCACCCCTTGCTCGGGGCTGGCACATGCTGACGGTCCCTTAAAGCCAACGGAGCTTTGAAGCTTTAAGATGGGGAAAAACAAGCATGATTATGGCAGAACAGAGCAGCCTGTAAGGCAGGGCTCCGGCACCAACCCTCGCTGCCTTTGTAGCCCTGTGGCAGCACAAAGGGGCAGTGGGAGGGAGCATCCACAGGGTGGCTGGGGCCGGGAGATCGTGGGGAAGGGATGGAGGTGAATCCCACGGGGTGTTGGGAGCTGCAGCTGGAGCTCAGAAAGCTGGACAGGGCACCCAGAGCCCGGCAAAGCTCCGCAACAGCCCAAGCTCCGCTGCCAAACCACGGCCTTATCCCCCTCCCGCAGCTGGGGGAACAGTCCTGGGCTGTCCTGTCCTGTGCTGTCCTGTCCTGTCCTGGGCTGTCCTGTCCTGTCCTGGGCTGTCCTGTCCTGTCCTGTCCTCATCCCCTCGTCGCTGTATCCCCTTGTCCGTGCATCTATCCTGTCGCCCGCTGCTCCCGCCTGCCCTAGCCATGCATCCCATCACCACCAACCCCCAGCAGGGGCTTTCCTTACCCCCCAGTCCCCCTCCCCACCTTCCCCACGGTGGTCCCCCGCTGTCACGGTGCCATGGGGACGGACGGCAGCCAGCACAGCCCAGCCCCGCCGCCCCGCCGCAGCCCGGCTACTGCACCCATCACACCTGCCCAGCCCCAGGGCAGGTCCCGGGGCAGGTCCCGGGACAGCGCCGGTGACGGGCCCGATCCCGGCGGGGCGCACCCGGGTGGGGGACAGTGAATGTTCCCGGCCAGCCCCGCCCCTTCGACAGGCCCCGCCCCTCATCGCGACCACGCCCCCTACCAGAACCACGCCCCTCCGCCCGCCCCTCATCCATTCCCCGCCCCTCCGGGCCTCTTCGCCTCGGCCCCGCCTCCTTCATTCCGGCCCCGCCCCTTCGCTCCGCCCCGCCCTCCCTGTCCCTCAAGCCCCGCCCATGCCCCTCCCCCGGTGGACTACCGTTCCCGTCGTGCCGCGCGGCGCAGGGTGTGGCTGTTTCCGCCCAGCACCCGCCGCCGTCGCCGCCGCGGAGCCGCCGCCGCCGCCCCAGGCCCCGGGACCGCTCTCGGTGCCAGTCTCTGCCCCGCCCGGTCGGAGCCGCCGCCCCCGGCCCGGCCCGGCCCCGCCATGTCGGCCCAGGCGCAGATGCGGGCCCTGCTGGACCAGCTCATGGGCACGGCCCGGGACGGTGAGTAGGGGCGGGCGGGGCCTGCAGGAAACGCCGCGGCCTCGGCGGCCGCCTCAGCGCGCGGGGCCCGGCCCGCCCCGGCCGCTGCCTCCGCTCGCTCCGGACCTGCGGCGCGATCCGCCCCCGCCCGCCCGGCCCCAGCCCCGTGGCGGCGAGGCGGGCCCGGGCCTGCCCGGCATGGGGGTCCAGCCGCGCCCCGGCCCCAGGGAGCGCCCGGCGCGGCCCAGCCCCGCCGTCCCGGGCCCGGCCGAGCGGGCAGGCCCAGGGCCGGCTCCGCGCCCGCGCATCCAGAGGCACTAGGTAGGTGTGCCTGCAGCGCCGGGTGCGGTCCGGCACCAGAAATGTGACAGCCCGTGCAAAATACGGCCCCGCTGCGGTTTGTGTTCTCCCTTCTGCGACTCGCTGGGTACTTAAATCCCCTTTGGCACGTTAGCAGGGCTGTCCAGGCACTTTGCACTTTGTTTCGTAAGTGAATAAGTGCTTTTCTTTTCTCTGTGTATTGAGTTGCTATTGAATTGCTTCCCATATTTTTATTTCATACAAACTGAACAATTGTGGCCCCTCTATTTTATTTATAAAGGTTCAGTGTATCTTTGCCTGCCTACATCAATCTGCAAGGGAGTTGCAGAAAAGCCTCATGTTCATCGAGCCGTGAGTCACAACCAATTTTTAAAGCTGTTATAACAAAAAAAAAAAGTGTTTGCTTTTTTTCACAAGTAACTTTAAAAGTGTAGCTTAGAAAGAAAAGAAAAATTAAAAAAAAAAAATTCAGTAGACACAACATTATTCCTGGATGCTTGTGAATCCTAATACTTTACTATTCCCATACTTTAGTATTACACATACCTGTGTCATATGCACAGATGAGCTTTAAAATTGTCACATACCATTACCACTTTGCCTTTACTTTTATGTATCATTCCCCTGACTTCCTTACTGCAGGTGTGGGCAAGAAAGCTTTTCCTTTAAAACTTTTCAACAATGGGCATAAAATTCTGCAGCTGAGGTCTTGAAGAATGCAGATGGGTATAGTATGTGTTGGAGCTCGCAGTGTGTATTGACTAACTTTGTTTCTTTTTTTTTCTATTTTTTTTTTGCTTTTCTGATATTGTGTTGTTTTAAGTGGCTCCTGAGTGTAAAATGTCCTCTGAGGGTGGGCTGAGGGTGGGTGTGTTCCAGGCCAAGACCACCTTTGCACGGCCTGGGAAGAGCACACTGCTTAGTTGGGTTCCACACCAAAAGGACTGGTGGCTTAGTTACCACGTGAGCAAAGAGCAGCTGCCTGTAAAAATTGCCCAGCACAGCCCTGTTTGCTGATCTGTGGGGTTTGGTATCTCCTGCCCCTTCCTCACAGCTAAACAAAAAAGAAGGGATGGAAAAAAATTAGCAGTTTTTGGCTGGGAGCCAGCCTGTCTGTCTCCTTTTCTCTCTTCTGGCTGTGCTGCCTCTTTATATGGATGACAGGCCTTGGACGTTGCTTGGCTCGCCAGCACTGTGTTTAACATGGTGTCCTGGATGATTAAATGCTAAAATAGTGTTTGTTGCCAATTATAAGTGTTCCAGAATATCCTGTTGCCCTCTAAGCTGGTTTGTTTGGTTTTTTGTTTTTTTTTTTGAGTAAATTTGGGGAGCAGGAGCACCAAGTATTTTAATCTGCATTTTGAGGTGAAATGCTCGTGCCCACGCCTGTGTTCCCTTGGTGTTCTAATGTCTCCTTATTTAAACCACACATGAATTGCAGGAGATGAAACCAGACAAAGGGTGAAGTTTACAGACGATCGTGTTTGCAAGAGCCACCTCCTGGATTGCTGTCCCCATGATATCCTGGCTGGAACAGTAAGTATGGCCTCTGTCATAAGGAATTCTGGTGGGGAGGATATTGGTACATCTCGTCTGGGCAGAGTGGGTGACTTCTAGGAGAGAGCAGTCACAATCCTAATTCCAGCTTTTGTGAACTGTGTATGGAAACTGCTGAAGTCAGGAGCTCTTAAAATACACTTGAAATGCTTTTCCCCTCACAGTCCCGTGTGAAGTTGTAAAATTCTTTCTCTTTTAGCAGTTTGAGGTGGTCAGAGCCTAAAACTTGTCCTGTGGTGGTTCCCAGACTGTAGGTCAGCTGCTGCCCTGGGTGCTCTAGTTCACTGTTGCATCTTCAGCTTAGCAAGCATTTTCTTAGCAGCTGCAATAGTCCTTGGAGGTTGTCAGTCTCCTCTCTCCAACCATGTGATGTTTCCTGATGGAACAGCAGCTATTCCATCATTCCTGATGGGGTGGCAATGGCAGGTCACAGCTCCAGCTGAACGTGGGTTGTTTGAGCTGGTTGTTTTTTGTGTCTCTCTGCCCCACTGGTCTCACACAGTTCTCTCTGCTCCTTCACTGCTCCCCCTGGGAACAGGGCTGGCCAGTGTTCAAACGTTTGGCTCACGTGCTCCCTCTGAGAGCACAAGGTGATGTGGGCTTTTAACAGTGAGGTGAGTGTTCAGTTTGGGCTCCCAGATGAAAGCTGGGACTTGGGAAAGAAAACACTGCGTGTCTTTTGTCCCCGTTGCTGTGTTACAGAATTCCAGGACGGAGGTGAATAGGGGTGTTTGAAATCCACCCTCACCCTCAGTGTTTGCATGAAATGCTGTGGTGTTCCCAGTGCCCATCCACTTACCCAGGTTGTTTAAAGATGCTGTGGTTATTTATAGCCCTTCCTGCTGCTGTTTTGGGAGCTGGCTGGACACTGTGGATCTCCAGCAAAGATGCTGGCACTGCTGCCCTGCTTGTGTCACTGCCGAAGCAGGACTGTGGCAGCACTGCTAGAAAGAGCTAAAGCTGCCACTGCTCTGAGGGCTCAAACTTCAGCTTCTCAGTGGCTGCCTCTGAATAAGATTGGAAGAGCTGAATACCAATCTCTGTGTATTTATTTTTTATTCATTTGAACCTCAGATAATGTTTTTCAGTGATTGCTCCATCAGCCTCCATGTCACTTCCATTTCAGAATTTTAAACCTCCGTCCTTCACGTAGGTCACTGTGGTCAGGGTGTATTTTTTGACACGAGATTCTACAACAGTTTTTTGGGGCCCAGAGGGTGCTTTGAAGGGGCAGGCTGCCTTCTGCCTCTTCTGGCAGGTTTCCAGGGAGAAGGTAAATGGTGAATTGAAGGGGTTGAACTACGTGACATGCCTGACTGTGGGAGCTGGTGCCAAAGTCTGAGGTGTTCAGGTGGGTTATGAGTTTCCCAGGGCAGGGAAGCACCTTGAGGAATCTATTTCTCTTGCTTCTGGTGTTACTTGTCTTGATGGAGTTGTCCTTTCCCTCTTGCTGTGGAGTTTGTGCTCAGAAATTGCAAGAGCAGGATGGAATAAAACTGCTCCTGCACAAGTGATCTTGTGGATCACTCAGATCTTGTGGTGGCCTTGAAGTGGCTGTGGAGCTCTGCACTGCTCTCAGCCAGTTCCTGGGGGCAAGAAAAAGTACTGGTGCCCCAGATCTGTGTTGAAAACACATGTGATGTCCAGAACAGGAACAACATTTCAGCTGTCAGCACTAGCAGCATGGAATGAAACCGAGCTGGAATGTGCAGGCTCTGCTCGTGATCCTGGGCACCTCCACTGGCACCTTGTGGTGCTCTGCTCAGCTGGGTGGGGTAACACCCATCTCTGGGTGTATTGCTGCAGAAATCAGGGCCTTGGATCTCTTGGAAACTTCCAACAGATGCTCCAAGCCTTCTGGTGCTGGCTGTGTTGCATCCTCCCCCTGAAGGCATTGTTCCTGCTGCATCCTTTGTGTGTGCAGACATTCCTTGGTGGGAGGCTGATTGGAGGCGAGCAGGAAGCTGATCTCTTGGGTAGCTGTGCTCACTGAAATGTGATGGAGTCCCATTCACTGACCTTCAGGTGCAGAGGAAGAGAAGGAGTCCAGGCTGTCAGTAAAGCTCTGGAATATTCCTGAGAGCTGGAGGAGGCCTGTTGATGTTGCTTTGTTCAGGTGCACCAGCGTTCCTGGTCATAAGAGCTGTCATTATAAGTTGGATTATTCCTATGATTATTCTCTTTTTGGCTCCAGAAATTTGTCTGAACTCATCACTAAATAAGCTACAGAGGTTCTCTAAAAGCCCATGGGCTTACTAAACTAACTTCTCCCAGAATTTTCCTCCTTACCCACAGAGACCAAAGAAAACCACTGTAGCTTATTTACAGTTGGTAATCCTCCTGAATTTCAGCTCCACTAAGAACTGGACAGATGAGTCTGAAAGCTGCCCAGGTTGAACCATAGCTTGGAAGTTACATTCAGGGAATTAATTGTGTCCCTGACAGGGGAATATGAGTGAGCTGAAATCTGTAGGGTTTAGAATTGTTTTGTGGGGGGTCTGTGCTTTCCTTTTTCACTTGGGTGAAACTCTGCAGCTCTGATCACTATTAAAGAGCCTTCTTTGTGGAAATTTTACTTTGTGGTGAGGTAGCAGTTCAGCAGAGAGCACAAGAGATACCTCAGAATGTGGATTGCTCAGGAGATGTGAGCAGGACTAACCAGTGACATCTAAATGTCTTCAGTCTGTGGGGATGGGGGGTTAAATCTTCACTCAGGCTCTGCTGGTCACCTGTGTTACAAACCAGCCAGTGTTGACTGGAGCAAGTTGTGATGTCTGTGGAAAGGCTGAGTGATGAGAGGATGCTTTGAGGCAGAAGGGCTGCTGGTCTTACCTCATGTGAGCAATACCTGTGAAAATCTCCTTGCCTTAGAACATCCCAAACAACATGGAGGAAGACTTGAGGTTTGTAAGCTGGTGAGACCTGAATGTGCTCCCCTTTTAACAAACAGGTGCAACATTGTTGGCTCTTCTGAAGTTTTGGGTTGGAGCCCCTTCTCTGAAATGGGGTTAAGTGGCTCAGCTTGTAAGAAAAGTTCAGATAAGAATATTTGTGGTCTGTGGCAATCACATCTAATATCATTAATTTCTCCCTGTTTTGGAAAGTGATCTCGGTCGAATGACCATGAGAATAAAAGATAGGTCACATCACAGAAAGAGTTATTTTTGTGGTAAAATAACAGTAGCTCTCCAGCATTCTTTCAAGAGGCTTGCCTGAAGATGAACATGATCAAGCTCTGAAGGTACCAGTATGAGGTTTTTTTGTAGGCATTAAATTTCCACCATTTGAGCTCAGCAGGACTATTCTGGATGCAGTGTCTGTTTCTGTAGCCTGTGGCCTCTTTATTCTGGTAAATCTGAGCAAAATGAGGAAGGCTAAATAGTGGCAAGTCATCCAGAATTGGTTTATTTTTGTCTAAAAAAGAAAAGCTAATAAGAGATAACTGCTGCAAACCTGAGTCTTACCTGGTGGAGTTTGCTTTCTTTGCTGAACACTGCTGTTCAAGTGCATTGTTTCACATAAGTGTCTCCTTAAGCTTTAGTTTGTGATGTTCCACAGGGATTCTGTGTTATTCCACTTTAGCTCTTTCCAGCAGTTCAGTGAGTTGACACTTGTTGTGTGTGTGCAGGTTTGGGCTCCTTGGAACTGGTGGTGACTGGGAGAGAAGAGGATGGAGGGCTGGAGTGTTCCTTGACATGTACCCTGCCATTCTTACTGTGGCTCACAGTTAGGGCTTTTGTTATTTTGGCTTTCAAAATGTCATATTCTTTCTCTACTATAAGAGAAATGTTCTTTGTTACAAATTGATAATGTTGAAATGCCATTTCTGTTTCGAGAGCATAATCGACTTGGGTTCATGTGGCTGTTAACTACTGGGTTGGGGAAAAATAAATTTAAATAGCATTGACTGCAGTGGGAGGGAAGGGCAGCATGCAGGTCAGAGCTTTCTGGGAAGGGAGATGCTCTTAAATCTCTCATTAAATGGGCTTATTTGTAGGACTTAGCTTTGCTGGGCAGGCTTTAAAATGCCAGGCTGCAGCTGGATGCGGGAAGGGGCTGGCGTTAGAATTAAGAGTCTGTTGTTGCTGAGCGTGGGGTTGTGCATTTCTGCTGGCTGTAACCCTTATTCCTTTAAGTCCATTTGTTGTTGATAGGAAGCATTGTTTCTGTCCTACAATTTTATATCTTTCAATATGTTATTAGGGCTTGTCCTTTCACAGATGTGCTTTTCCAGGTGAGCTTTAAACAGGGTGCAGGTATGCTTTGCTGTGCTGTGGCTCCATGAGAGGAGGCATTGGCAGTTGGTGCCTGTTGAAGGAGACCCAGCTCCCTCACAGCAGTTTCTAAGGCTGTGCTATGACCTAAAGTAGGAGTAGGACTGGACTTATAACATTTGGGGTGTGTTAATGTTGTTCCAGGAACACCTAGAAAAGGGGTTCTGGCAAGCATGTGGTTCTTCTGGCTAGTTGTATTACTGATAGGTTAGAAGGAAGCTCTTCCTGAAAAGACTTTATTTTGATGTGATGCAGTTGGCAAGAGCTAAGGATCTGCTGCTTGTTGCCATAATGGAGGGTTTTTACATGAGTCTTCCTTTTTCTCTTCCACAGCGAATGGACCTGGGAGAATGTACAAAGATCCATGACTTGGCACTGCGAGCAGATTATGAGATTGCAAGTAAAGAGAGAGACCTCTTCTTTGAGCTGGATGTGAGTATGGAGAAGTTTTAATTACTTTTGTGGGAAATGCTTCTTGAAGTTACTGAGCTGAACAGTAGAACTCGGTGACCATTTCAGCTCATTGTGGTGTTTGATGTGTGACCAGTGCAGGATGTGCAGCCCCTTCCTGCCTGTGGGCTTGATTGCTGACTTGGAACTGTACAAGTAATTATGGCACTTGCCATCCCCCATTAGCTCAACTAGCTGGGAGGCTCCTCTGGCATTCCTTGCATCCCACACCTGCTGCTCTGTACTAGGTCGTTGTAACCTGGTACCCTGTCCCAGAAGGGGATTTAACATTAAAACCCTTCTGCTCAGTGGTTTTACTTTTGGCAGATTTAGCTTTCTGTGATGGAACAGATCAAGGGAAAGAACGATTCTGTCTTCCCTTTTCATGTTATTCCAGTGCTTTTGTCTGTGCACCTGTTGCTCCTGCTTTGGAAGTTCCAGTGCAAAGCAGTGTTGATGTGAGCATCCTGTGATGTGTCAGAGTCAAGGAACTGGGTCAGGTTCCACGCACGGGTCAAATGTTCCTTGTTCTGCAAAGTGTCATTTGTTGTTTTTTTTCCCCAAAGCATCTGTTCTTGAGATTGTTTATGCATTACAGAGGGACTGCACCAGATGGCTGTTGGCTGTCAAAGATATATCTGGCATGGAGAGCATCTTTATTCCTAATTCTTTATCTGATCATGCAGGCCATGGATCACCTGGAATCCTTCATTGCAGAGTGTGATAGGAGAACAGAACTGGCCAAGAAACGCCTGGCTGAGACACAGGAAGAGATCAGTGCTGAAGTGTCTGCAAAGGTATTGGCCTCTCATTAAACGTTGGTTCTGAAAGTCTGTGTGGGAGCTCTGGTGCTGTGTTGTCTCTGACACCACTGATAATTGATGGTTTAGAATAGCAAATCCATCCCATGGTTGTTATCTCTTTACTTAGCAAATGCTCATGGAGTTTCCTCTTTGGGAACTTGCTTCACTCGGCCAATACAGGACATTTCTGAAGCTGCTTTTGTGGACTCTGTACTGTCCTGTTATCCAGAAATGTGCTGCTGTTTGCAGCAGAACTGATGATGTCTTCTCCATGCCCAGTTTCTCTCTTTGCCAGGTGTTGGTGACTGTTGTGATTGGCCCACCAATCCCTTTTGTTGGGCCTCTTGACTTTTGGAGATTTATGGCCATCTTGCAGCAACTGATTTAGTTAAAACAGTATTTTTTAAAGAGAAGGGAAAAGTTTTCCTGCAAGCTTTATCACGTTTTTGTCTTACTAAAAACTAACTATTCTCTTTAGGCAGAGAAAGTACACGAGCTGAATGAAGACATTGGAAAACTCCTAGCTAAAGCTGAACAGCTGGGAGCTGAAGGAAATGTTGATGAGTCTCAGAAGATCCTGATGGAAGTGGAGAAAGTCCGGGCAAAAAAGAAAGAGGCAGAGGTATGGCATTGGTTCTGAGGATTGGAACAGGGGCCTGGGCTGAGAACATGTCACAGCTGGGCACTTCCTACCTCTGCTCCTGTGTTGCCAGCACCTCCTTTCCCAGTTTCAGCCATGTGCCAGCAAGCAGTTGGCAGTGGATAAAAAGCTTTTTAGAAACTTTTCTCTAGTGCAGAGAGCTGACTGGGGCGGGGAGGGCTTTGTCCTCTGGAATATTTGGTCACTGTTCCTTTGCAGGGACAGACTGTCGGGCTTGGCTGTGCCCACAGAGCGTTTGTGTGGCACCTCCTTTGTGTGGGGGTGGGTTTTCATTCTTGAAAGCCATTCTTTGCAGGGGTTTCCCTGGAGGGTTGTGACAATGCAAGGCTTCCCTGACACTTGTGTGGGTTTTCTTGCCTCCCTTTAGGAGGAATACCGAAATTCAATGCCTGCATCCAGTTTCCAGCAGCAGAAGCTGCGTGTGTGTGAAGTCTGTTCAGCATATCTGGGTCTCCATGACAACGACCGGCGTCTTGCTGACCACTTTGGAGGCAAATTACACTTGGGTTTCATTCAGATTCGTGAGAAACTGGATCAGCTGAGGGTAATCCTCTCTGTTTTAAACCTTCTCTTTGTAGTTTCAAAGACATTGAACACTTCTATTAAATTAATACAGAATTCTTGGCAGAGTGCTTGTAAAAGCTCAGAATCTTCCAATTGCAGAATCCCTGAAACTTCAAATGGAGCCTTTTTTAGCCTCGTCTTGGGTTCTGTTCTGTATTTTCTGGGTAACTAAATATCTACCCTCAGAATCAGTCAAACCAGACCATGGCTGTCATTTATTCCTTAGAGCATTGGTACAGTCACCTGTATTTTTCTTGTTGATATGGCTGAAATTTGTCACTCTGAGGCCTCTTAATGAGATGTTTGAACTGAAGTTTCACATAGTGTGTGAACTGAATTTTCACGTCAGCATAAAAGGTCTTGAGTAGCTGAAGCCATTAGGAGTTGTCTGAAGAGGTTTGTAATGGGTTGTGGCATGGGCCTTGCTTGCAAACAGAGACCTTTAGCCAGCTCTAGTAAGAGCTGTGATTCCTGTGCCTCTCTCAGTATATTGAGGTCAGTGCCTTGACTGAGGAAAATGAAAACCTTGATAGAGATCTTGAGTAGCACATAAAATGCAGTGAAATGGTTCTTTGTCTTGCTCTGGGAAGGGTCTCCCTGCAGATCTCTGAGCTGTAACTGTATGGCTGAAATATGATGTGGACTGGTTTTGGTTTTTTTCTAGAAAACAGTGGCAGAAAAGCAAGAGAAGAGAAACCAGGATCGTTTGAGACGGAGGGAGGAGAGAGAACGAGAGGAGAGGATGGGCAGACGGTAAGTGGGACCTGACAGCTGGCTTGTGAAGTTGGTTTTTAAATAGTCTGATTTTTCATACCTTAGTATTGCAGGAACACAGCATCTGCTGCTGGAGTAGCTGTTGGATGAGCTCTGGTTACTGTGTGAGCACCTTGGGATTCAGTTAAAGATGGAAACACGTGCACAAACCCCCACCACAGAGTGATTGTGTGTGTATTGCCTCAACTTCCATTGTGTCTGAAAGATGGGAGCTCCCTGCAGTCTTCAGGCTTATATTGGTCTAGTCCCTGTCCTTGGGAATCTGAATATGGATAAGATACCCTCATCCAATGCATCTGAGTGGGAAAGTTCAAGATGAGTGAGGACTAGGTCTGCTCAAAAGGGTCATGCAGAAATTCTCTGAACAGTCCTCCTCACTTCTAGTCTTGTAGGTGACAACAGTGTGGAGCTGGTATCCATGGGCTAAATGGGGGGCTGCCTGTCTTGCTCCAAAACTTTTCTACAGTAACAGTGAGGTGCTTTTGGCACAGCTTTGGTATCCAAGAGATCCCAAGGTGTGACTGCTTCTGATGGTTGTGGCCATGTGTGTCACCTTCTGCTCAGATGTCTGTAATTCCTGAGCAGTGGGAGTGGCTGGAGCGTTGGTATTCTCAGGACAAGCTGCCAGCTGAACTGGAAAAACAATTTCTTCTGTACTTGGAGTGAAGAGGCACCTTGTGTGTAAACAGCTCAGTTAAACAGCCTGTGTGGGGAGGGTGGTTATTTGCAGGGCTCAGGCAGAGGAAGTGGCAGGGTGGGAATGCTGCTCTCATTGTTACAACATCTCCTCAGTTACCGCATGTGTTTCTCTTCTTGTACTTCTTGCATCAAAAAACCCCAACCTTCCTCCTTGTGGAGAGCTCCTTTTGACCTTTGGTGTCAGCTGAGGAGTGAGTTTATCTGAGGCAGATGAGATTTGTAACTGAGTTGTGCTATAAGATGGTGCTGGCTTCTGGCTATAATTAGTGTAAGTGCTGACAAATAAACACCAGAATGAAGCAGCTTGGTGATTTTGATGGAATGTGAAAGATGTAAACCTCAAATTGTTATGTATTATACATATTATTATATCAGTTAGGGTGTTTCATATGGGTTTTCTCTCTGTGGGTTGCCTGGTGGGATATGAAGTGCCAGTTTGTGCTGCAGCATTCTGCTGAACAGCACCTTCTGGAGAACCTCCCAACTTTCTGGTATCCATGCAAGACTGTCAGTAATCCAGTTAAATTTGGGAGCTGCAGGATCTGGAACCAGCTGATGAGTGCAGGAGTTCATCAAAAGGGACTGCTGTGGCTGCTGCAGTGGTCAGAGAGGTGGAAGTGAAATGGAAGTGTCTTCCCATGCAGCTGTGTCATGACAGGCTCTTTCGGAGCCACAGCAGGACTGTACCTGATCTGGACTCAGTTTGTCTCCATGGTGCCTCTTCTTCCCGGAGGTCATTTCTGTGTGGAAATTGCTCAACAGAGTTGCCTTCAGGAAGAATCCCCTGGATCTCTTAGTTGATCCACATCTCCCCAAAAATGCTGCCTTTCTTCCTCCTGTGCTGTGTCTGGGGTTTTGTTTTTGTGGTTTTTAAAAAATCCCCAAACCCTCAGTTCTTGAACGTTAAGGAGCCTTTTGTGTTCATAGGTAGTTCATGTATGGATGCAGCTGATGAGGGGGCTTGAAGATGGCTTTTGAATGTTTATTTATGGCTTTAAATATGAAGGGCTTAAGAACTGCATTGAGTTGACCTAAAGTCTGAGTTCTGGCTGCTTCCATGTGTGACACTGCTTAGAGACCATGGCTGGCTCTGTGTGGAGGCACCTGTGTGCTCCCCTGCTCAGATACCACAGGAAAACTTGTTATGAAGGAGCCAGGAGTGCCATACAGAGGAGGTCAAATTAATTGCCTTTCCAAAATGAGACCTTGACCCAAAGGAGGATGATAGTTTTCCCAGTGTCAGAACTGAGGTTGCATCCCAGATTTCCCAGCCCCTTACCCGCTGGGAGCTGTGCACACCACGCTCACAGGGGCACTTCTCCATCAAAAACTAACTGGTGACTTCTACCACTTTTCTAACAGCCTCTTATCCAGAGCCTGATACTTTAAGGAACCACAGGAAACATGATTCCTGCAGAACTCTTGTTGTTATATCCTCATGTGCAGCATCCTCACAGTGTTACTCAGTAACACTCAGTAAGAGAGAGCATGACTTGACTTTGGGAGTCTTTGGTGACTGACGGGCACTGTGACATACTCTGGGAACCTGTGGGTTCCCTTGTGAAACTCTGCCTCTCACAGCTGTTATTAATTTGTCAATAAACTGTCATTCCACATAGGAATGAGTGAACTGGGTTGTCACACTTAGTGGTAAATAAACACAAGTGGTTTGTTTGGTGTTGCTGGCGGGTGTTGGGTACCCAGTAATCTTGGAAGACTGGAATTCTGTGGAGAGGTGGCATGCTTGGAAGTGCAGCCCTCAGTGTTTGCCTCCAGGCTACTCCAGCAAACAAGTCCAGTGGAGTTGCCAAATGGATTTCCTTTGTGTTAGGCTGCACAAAAGACAGATTATGAAACTCAGCACAAAGTCTGTGATACAGAGACCAGAAAGAGGAAAAAAATAAAGAAAATAGACATGCTCAGCCTCTTGCTCCTCTGGACAGCAGTCTTCTTTTGTCTCCTGCTGATTCAGGCTTGTAAGAAAAGAGCTGTTTTGTTGGATACTTCCTGAAATCTGAAGTGTGACTCTAGGGAATGATTATCAGGAATTTTTTGTGCATGTTCCTGCTCGGATCATAGGCAGGGAAGGGCAGCCAGGCTTTTCAGGGGCCATGGAAGGGCTTTGTGAGGATGTGCGCACTGGTGGTTCGGAATAAAGTGATCAGGATGAAAAGAACATTAAGAACTTGGAGTAATTGCAACCACCAAAACAATTCATCTGCCTGCCAGGCACCTCCAGGAGGTCCTGCTGCTCCGTCAGGTTTTGTTATAGGTGTGTGGTTATTGCCTTGCTCTCCTGGTTTATCAGCTTTTCCTTCACCTGGTCCCGTGTGTTGCCTCAGTGCACGGCTCGTTTGCAGACTCCAAGTTCAGCTCCACCTTGTTTACAGTCCTACCTGAATTCCCCTCTAAATTTGGGGTTTCTTTTGCTTTCTACCATGACTGAACAACCCTCTTTCATTGTGAAGAAATGTTTGGTGCACGTTGATTTGCTCAGTCGTGTCTTACCCAGGTATGGTTTTAAATGATGTTATTAAAACAGATGCTTCTCTATTGCTTCTTAAATTTTTGTGTGTAGATTTCAGCCACATCTGCTGCAGTGCCAGGGGTGTGAATGCAACACCCCTGTGAGTCTGTGCAGTGGGGAGCAGTTACAAGAGAGAGTCTTTAAATCACTGAACAGGGAGATCAGCCACTTCTTAATTAAAGCAAAACGAGACTGTTCAGACAGCACGTGACAGTTTGGTATGAGCTGGCTCTGAGATGTGGCCACAGAGGAAGAGGGAGGGTGGGTCTGGCACGTGCTGTGGTATTTTAAGTGGTGCTGAGTAATGGTGCTGCAGAAGTTGAGAGAATTGTGACATTATTTATGTCAAAAGCTGACAGCAGTAAGCTGGGAGTGCCATGCATGAGCTCTGAAGCCATGGAAATGTGAGAAAGAATAGTGAGGCCTGGATTATTCTTCTCAAGTGCTTTTTAAGTCAGGGATGAAGGATTTTCAAGTTTATATCTGTCACTTCTCAGCTCTTCCCTTTTGGCTGTGTCCCTTCTATTTTTCTACTTCATCTTTCCCAGACAGGGATAAAATATTGATGCAAATTTCCCTCTAATATTTGTTAAACAAATGCAATGAGGTAGAAAGTGTTGTTTTCTCTTTACTAAAACCTTTTCAAATTACAACTGCCTCAAAAGAACCAAAACCAGAAATCTGTCAAGTGTCTTTCTGACTTGAGAGTGGCACTTCTTGAAAATCTAGAGTTGATCCAGCTGATGTTAGACTGCAGGGGGTAAAGGATATATAACAAATGTGTACAGTAAACCTAGAAAGGTTCATTGTGGTGCTTTATCAGAGACTGAACTGGTTTCTAGACCTTTTCTGTTGTGACAGGAAGCTCTGCAAGCAGAAACTGGTGTTTCCACGGAGTTCTTCAGTTTTTGACAAATTCGCACTGCCCACAAAATTGAAGCTAATTAAATGTTTTAATGACAAGCTTTTTTTAAACTGACACATCACTTGGGGTATTGCTGTGTTCCTGTGAAGAGCTGCCAGCATGGATGAGTTTTTCTATTGAAAACCCACTGGCTTTATCATAACTTCTCTCACTTAACTCTCCTCTTCCCTCTAGGTCTGGATCAAGAAATAGAGATCGTCGAAGGTGAGTGCCCAGTTCTACAGTTCTCCCAAATGCCTGTTTGTGTTTATATCTTAACTGCTGAGGTTTTTCCTGGGTCTCACAAATGGAGTTCACTCAGTGCCTCAGTCTCTTTGGTTTACTCCCTGAAAAAAATGGGAACTACAGCGTGGGCACCTCAGTGGTGCTGCTTAGCTTGGTGTCCCTCGTTGGGCTCTACAGCAGGGGCTGTGCAGCCTGGTCAGGACGGGGTCTGTGTGCTCCAGAGTGAGTCCAGGAATGTCCTTGGTGCCTCTTCCAAGGCATATACTGATATACTTCCATGGTTTTAATGTCTGAAATATCTGTTACATGTGTAATACCTCAGATGTGAAAATACTGATGCAAGATTAAACCCCCCACGTCTCTGGAAGAGTGTGTCTGAATTGTATGACAGCACTCTGTGTGATCATGGACCTGGAGATCTCCCTCTGGCATCCTTCTTGGTTTTAGAGCAGGTTGAAACAAATCTGCTTCTGAAGTGCAGGGCTTTCACAAGGGAGGCTTCTCTTAGGGTTATGGTAATTTAAAATAAATAAACAGGCTACTTACTTTGGCCTCTTTTCTACTTTTACACTTTGAGTGAGGCAGGGTTGTAAGCTCTGCCCTGGCCCTTGGCATGTGCTTATAATAATGGTGGGAGCTTTTTTATATAAACTTCCCAGAAAACTGTATTATCCATTGGCCCTTTGTTGGTAGGTGCAGGAGGAGGGGGTGTGGGTGCCCTGCTGTGGGTGCTGGCAGGGATGTGGCTGGGGAGGAGTGAGTGCTGATCTCTGGGTATGTGTAACTCGGGAATGTCGGAGTGGTGGGCTCAGGTGTGCAGATCCCAGGCACTGCCTGTGTCCTGAGCCTGAGCCAGCCTGTGTCCCCTGCAGGTCACGGTCCCGGGAGAGGCGGCGAAGGCGCTCCCGGTCGGCATCCCGGGAACGGCGGAAGTCGCGCTCCCGATCCCGGGACCGGCACCGGCGCCACCGGAGCCGCTCCCGCAGCCACAGCCGAGGGCACCGCCGGGGCTCCAGAGACAGGAGCTCAAAACACAAGTATGTATTCCTGGCAGGAGGGCTTCTGGAGAGGGGAGCCCTTGGCTCACAGAGAGACTCCCCATCCCGTGGCTCTCAGCAGCAGCTGCAGGGTCCTGTGCCAGCTCCTGGGCCAGAACAGGATTTCCCAGTGGCCTCACGTGAGGGCAGTAACTCTAAAGCAAGATCCCAGCTGAGAGGAGAGTCCAGCAGGTAGAATTGGTTCCCTGATTGCAGTGCTGAGCCTTGAGACACTCCTGGTTTTCTTGTATGAGAAGCAGCACCAAGGTCTGTCTGAGCTAACTGAGCCTCCCTGGGTCTGCAAAAGCCAAGTGACTGAGAGGCAGTTTTGATGTTACGTTTCTGTTGTTGCCTTCTGCTTCCCAGATTCCTCCTCTCAGTGCTGGCATGGGGAGGGAAGTGTATGATTTGGGGTCTCAGGCATGTCTGTTAGAAGGCTGCTTGAAAGAGAGAGAGAGAGAGACATAATTCTTTAGGAATCAGCACTAGAGGGAGGGAAAAAGGAATCCAGGAGGAGTGTACAATTCTCCTGTTGCTGAGGGGAAGCACTATAGTTCAAAGAAGGGCTTTAAGTCTCCTGTGAAACTCAGCAAAACAGCCTCTGTGTTGGAGGAAGGATGAGACCAGGGGGTAGGAGTATTAGAAACACTAAATGGAATCACTGCATTTCCTTACAGCCCTTCTTAGCCCAGCAGCAAGTCTATCTCCAGGTGCCTGCTGAAGTTAGATCTGGCTGTTTTTAAATGCTCCTGATTAATAGAGGAGTGCTTTAGCACTGTTTCACCTGATTAGGCCACTGGACTACAACTCCAGAAACAAACCTACTGTTGTGTGTCTTGTGTCGCTTTAGCTGAGGGGCAAGAACAGCTTTTAAAGGTACCTGGTGAAGGGGAGGGAAATAATGGTCTGAAAAATAAGCCTGTTAATAATTGAGGGGGGGTGTAAATACTGTTGATTCTCCAATGGCTGAGATACTAAAGTGCTTTTTTAAATCTGTCTTGAACATGAAAAATAAAGAAAAGAAGTTTGGACAATTAGGAAGTGAGGAAGATCCTGTAATAACTTTTACTAAAGAGCAGGTAAGGGATTACTTCGGAACCCTTGGTCACATCCAAACCAGCCCATCGAAGTTGCAGGGGGATTGGCACTGGCACACCTGCACAAAATTGCTGAGAACTGGGGAAAGGCCAGGATCAGTTTAAGAAAATAAAGCAAAAACAAGAGAACAAACAGGAAAATCCTGTTTCCTGAAAAAGGTGTAGTTTCTCTTTTCACTGTGAGAATTAACAGAACCAGCCCTCAGGTTCTGCTGGTCTGTCGTCTCACTTGCAGAAAGAAAGAGAGTGTGTGTCACAGGATCTGGAGGTCTCAGGGTAGGAGGATTGCAGGCAGCAGGTGCTCTTGTGGGAACAGGTAGAGAGTTAATCTCATCAGAGTGATGTGTTCTGGTTAAACGACAGAGTTTAATGAAAATGAAATGGCTCATGTGACACCAAAGGGCTGTAAGTTTTTGATCTGTCAATTGTGAAGTATTTTCAAACTTTACAATCAACAAGAATGAAAGCTGGAACCTCCGAGGTACCTGCCAGGGCCTCTTCTTGTGACTGTAAAGAAAAACCTGTGTACTGAGCCTTGGAGTAAAATGTGGGCGCCTTTGCCAAGGGGTATGGGCTGTTAGAGCTCCCTGAGGATCAGCTCCCTTGGAATTCTGCTATTCCATAAGCTGGCATGAATCACACAAGACACAGCCTTTCAGACTGGACCCAATATGAAGCCTCCTGCTTAATTCTGTGTGGGCTGACACGGGGAAGAGCTGCTGAAAATGTGTAGCTGTCACTCGGGCAGGGCCATGAAAAGATGTACAATATAAATCTGTGTCATCCTGGTTCTGAACCCGGGATGCTGCCAAGGCCAGTGTTTGTCAGGATGCAAAATGAAAAGCCCAGGGCTGAGGGAGCAAAGAATCCAGTTGGTATTTAAAGCAGGTGAACAGAAAGCTTAGGGCAAAATGAAAAACCGCTCTGGAAGGCACGGGCAGAGCTGAGTCAGAGATGAGGAAGAAATTGCAGGTGCTTTAGTGTGGCCCAGAAAACTAATAAGGGGCCCAGGGAAGACCTGAGAGAGCCCCTGGGGCCACAGCTTGAAAGGATCACTGTGAGGAAGGAGTGACAGAGGGTCCAGAGCTGGCATTCCCTCATAGAAACCCCACAGAGCCCAGAGCTGGCACCATGGGGACCTGTAGACACATTCCTGTGCTGCCCCACAGCGCTGAGAGGGAAAGGTGGTGTCACTTTGTGGGTGGCTGACAGTTTTGAGCTGTGAAGCTGATAGAGATGGTTTCATTTGTGCTTCAGATCTTCCAGAGATCGGTCTTCGAGAGAAAAGTCCCGAGACAGAGAGAGGAAAGACAAGAGCTCTTCTGAGAGGCGGCACGAGAGCACAAACGGCAAATCTCGTTCCAAGAGGTCAGAAGAGAGAGAAGCTGGAGAGATCTGAACTCAAAAACGATCTGTGTTGCACTGTAAATAGTCTGATAAACATTCTACACAAAAGCCTAAATTTTCCCATTTATATTTACTGAATACAACTCATCTTTTGTAGTTTGGGGTTTTTATTGTTTGGCAGATAGCTGTGAGTTTGTAGAGAACACAAGAGTTACGTACTGTTTAACAGGGTTTTGTTTTAGTAGGAATAAATAAACCTGGATGGATGGTTTTGAGCCCAGGCCAGTGTGGACACCCTGTGTTTGTCCTGACAGCGGTTGGGGCCGTGCTGTGCCTGGAGCCCTGAGCTGCCCTGACCTTTGTAACGCTTCAGCCCTTCCCAAAAGCCCTCCCTGACCCTCTGTGAGCACACCAGTAGTGCTGGTCCTCACTTTATTCTATTTTTCCTTTTGTTTATATATGTCAAAAGAAAATTTTGATTATTTTTTTTTTTTAATCCCTTTTAGTGCTTAGCCACCTCATTTTTATGTCTCCAGCACCTGAGCTGCCTCAGTTGTCCAGCTGAGGCGAGACAGGTAAAATTTGGCCCTGATTTATTCTGAAAGCTGTGAGGGTGACCAGATCAGCTGAGCACGTTTCTGAGATGGGCTCAGGTCTGGTTTTAGTCCCTTTACAGGTCAGACAGTGGGTGTGAGCAAAGCAGTGGGAGACCGAGGCTGGTTTCATCTGGCTGTTTACTGTGCACTCTGCAGCCAGAGCTTCCCTTGGGGGACTTTCTGACCTGCAGCCAAAAGCGTTGGTGTGTTCCCAAGGCCAGGGAGGCAGAAGGGGGCAGAGGTGCCTGGGCTGGAGGTGTCCCAGCGCCCGCTGATCTGTAACCGGGTCTGTGTCCCAGGAGGGCAGGAAGGAGCCCGGCTGTGCCAGCCCTTGGTCGCCACCCAGGGTCGGCGTTTTGTGGGAGTTGTGCGAGTGAAGCCCTTGTGTCCCGCCGAGCCGGGCGCTGCTCATTAGCCGGGCGGGGCGGTTAATTACGGCCGTTAATTACCGTTCCCGGGGGTCCGTCGATGCTGTGCGGGTCCGCCCAGCATTCCCCCTCCCCTCCTCCTCCATCCGCGGCTCCCCGGTGTCAGTCCCCCGTGCATGCGCCCCTCCCTCCCCCCTCCCTCCCTTTCTCCCTCCGGGTCCGTTTTTACACCGAATTCCGCGGTTTCACGTGTTGTTTTTTGTAACCTGCGCTCGCGGGGGGGTGGGGGGAGGGAGGGGCGGGCCGCGGGCGCGCGCTCGGGGCTGCCCTGTGTACGCGCCTGTCGCTGTTCCCGCCGCGGTTCTGAGCGCATTAAAGATGTGTGTTTGTGGCTCCCCGGTGCTGCCCGGACTCGTTTGTTGTCGCGGGGTCCGCGCCGGCACCGGCCCCGCCACCGCGGCCGGGCGGAAGGGCCGCCCTGCGTCGTGACGTCACTTCCGCCGTGCGGCGGGCGATGGAGGCGGAAGTGACGGCGGCGGCGGGTGAGTGAGAGCGGGGCGGGGACGGGCCGGGCCCGGGGGGCACCGGGGTGGGCTGAGCCCCCCGGGCAAAGGGGGGGCACCGAGCCGCCCCCGTGGGCAAGGGGAGCTCCGTGCGGGCGGCCTCCCGCTGCCCCACGTGCCCAGGCCGCGACTCCGCGCTGGGAGGGAGGGAAGAGGGCTCCCCCGGTGTCTCCGCTGCCCGCGCGGGGCCGCCGCCTCTGGGAGCTCGGAGCGGCTGTGACAGCACGGGGCGAGGGGCAGCTGCGGGGCCGGGCCGGCGGGACCCCGCGGGTGTGTCAGTGACACGGCCGGGCCGGTGGGACCCCGTGGGTGTCAATGCCTCCAGCAGCGCTTGGCCCAGCCCTGGTGCCTTCCCCGCTGACCCGGAGGGATTTCCAGCTCAAGAGGTTTTCCAGAAGTACAGTGAGAAGCCTGGGACAGAATTTAATCCCTTCTTCCCAAGCCCAGGCCCTGCCGAGGTCGTCTGACCCGTTTACCCCGTGCTTGGCGGCTGCAGGGCAGCCCGGGGAGGTGCTTGTGCAGCACCCGGGGCTGTGCTTCAGTCAAACAGATACGAGAGACCGCTCAGCTCTGCAGGGCTCGGCGCACTCAGAGCTTCAGAGGGTTAAACTCCTGTTCCTCTCTCCCTCAGCACCCCACGAACCTGGTCTGCAGAAAGAAAAATGCTTTAGTGTGTTCAACTCTGACCTCATTTCCAGCGGTTTTTTCCCTTATTTTGTAAGGCAGGAGCCTCTTGTGTAACTGCTGGGAGTGAGGGAGCTGCCTGGCCTGCGGGGGGGGGAACCTGCCCAGCACCAGGGCAAAACTGGGCCCTGTTGGAGGGGCTGTGGAAGCTCCCTAGGGATGGATATTGTGAGTGGGGTGGAATGGCCTGGAGTGAGCTTTACTCTGTGTATGTGTGCAAGAGGGGAAAGGGAAAATTCCATTTCTTGAGGGTGGAGGGAAAGAGGTTTCTCTTGGAAGTGGCTGACAAGGACAACAGGGCTGGGAGAAGGATGTTGTTTCATAGAATCACAGACTGGTTTGGGTTGGGAGGGACCTTAAAGACCATCCAGTTCCACGCCCTGCCATGGGCAGGGACACCTTCCACCATCCCAGGTTGCTCCAAGCCCCCTCCAACCTGGCCTGGAACACTTGCAGGGATAGGGCAGCCACAGCTTCTCTGGGCAACCTGTGCCAGGGCCTCACCACCTTCACAGGGAAGAAATGTCTCTGGATGAGGTGGGGGTGTCTCTTGGAGAGGTGGGGGTGTCTCTGGATGAACTGGGGGTGTCTCTGACACGGGAGGTTCAAACACCTGCTACCCTGGGGTTGTATTAAAGGGATTTGCAGCAGTCAGTGAGGGTGAGTGGCTTGGATCCAGTGGAGCTTCTAAGCCCTGGGATGATAAATGATGGGTGTTTCTGCAGCTCAGTTGTTGTTACTGGCCTGACCTGTAATCAGTTCCACACAGCTTTAATGCTGTTCTTCATCTTAAGAGTTTTGATCTTCCCATTGCTCTCATGGAAGAAGCACTGTATCATGTGTTGCTCTTCCCTAAACTGAGTTTCTGTGTTTGAAACCCTGACTCTAGTGAAAACTGCCCTGGGGAAGAGGAGTTCTCTCCTACAAATGCCAAATGTATCACATTCCAAGGTGGCTGTACTCTGGAGGAGTTTCTAATTCCCTTGCTGTGGGGGCTCTGTGGCACCTCCTGTGTCTGTGCACAAGTGTCATTTTGGAAGAACCTGATGTTTTGAAGAGACCTATGTTAACAGAGGCAAAGCAACAAGAGTGAGAGGAGGGGAAAGGACAGCTCCAGCAGGAGAACCACAGAATCCCTGAATGCTTTGAGTTGGAAGGGACCTTAAAGCCCATCCCATTCCACCCCCTGCCATTGAAGGGACACCTTCCACTAGCCCAGGTTGCTCAGAGCTCCATCCAACCTGGCCTTGGACACTTCCAGGGATGGGGCAGCCACAGCTTCTCTGGGCAACCTGTGCCAGGCCCTCACCACCCTCTTTGGTGGGGTTTGGGTCCTTACAAAGGCTGCAGAGACACGACAGGAACAGAATCCCTTGGAGTCAGACAGTGCAGGTGACTCAGCAAAGCAATGAGCTCGAGTGCAGGGGGCAGCCTGAGTGTCTTTGGGAAGGAAAATCTCCTATGGGGGAACCTTATGTGTTATTTCCTCTTGTCTGGACCCTGATCTAAGTGGGACTGCAGGAAAGGGAATGAATGACCCAAGACTGAGTGTCACAGCAGGTGACTGCCTGGGGAGTTTGCTGCAGTGCCACGCTGTGCATGGGATCAAAACCCAATAGTCGGCTTGTGGAAGACAGCTGTGATGGGAATGTGGGTTCTTACTCAGAGCAAAACTTGGCTGTTCTGTCATTATTGATTGCAGCTCGGGGCTTACAGCAATTTCAGGTTGACAGGAAGGGAACCTGTAAGGTGCTTAAAACAAACAAACAGAACGAAACCAGCCAAATGCTGTGTTTGTGTTCCTAAAATGGCCAGTCAAAACCTGATTTCATCCTTCTGTGAAAGACAGAAATGTGTTGAATATCAAATCTAAGTTAGGATATACTGCTAGGAGTTTTCCAGGAAGAACTGCTGCCTGATGACATTACAAATGCTGTGGTTTGGTGTTTTATGGGTGGAAAATGAGTTCAACCTTCCATCACACTGATTTTTTAAATGGTTTCTGTCACCAGCCTTCACCCACCTGACTGTGTGTGGTTCTCTGTGCTCGTCAGGCACAGTTCTGTCACAGGCAGCAGTTCTGCCTGGCTGGTAATGGTGGTTTAGCTGCACAAGTGTCACTGGTTTGGTTCAGATCAGATCTGTAAATCTGCGCTGTGGCTTCAGCAGAAGAGGTTGGTCAGTCCCCCATGAAGGTGAGTAAAGCTGTGTTCGTCCTGAGCATGGTGGTGTTATTGTGGGACAGGAAAGGGTATTTGTTCCCCTCAGCTTTGGTCAGGGTTTGCTCCTGGCTCATCCCATGGCTGGGATAAGCAGCCTTTAGAGTTTGTGGAGGGCTGGAGCCCTGTCTGAGATGCAGACCCTGGCTGTGCTCCCTCGGTTCAGTTCAGGTCTGTCACATGTGCTTTCTAATTATTTCTGCAAAGTCTTCCTACCATCCCCAGGCAGGGAGCTGGTGCTGGCTGTGAGCTCTGCTGCGCGTGGTGTGCCTTCCACAGCAGCAGCACAGGATCCTGTCACTGCCTGCTCCCTCGCAAGGTGCCTGGACGTGTTAAACTTCCCAGGGAATTCTTTTGTGGCCTTTTGTCAGCGGGAGACAAAATGTCGGCTGCTGGAGGACAGCGAAACCATCTCAAATGCACGCTATCATTTTCTGCTTGTCTTCAATTAAACTGATTACCAGCCCTCTTTGTTGCTCAGCGCTCAGGCCGTCTCACATGCTGCCAGCGCGTACTTTGGCAGCGGCGGGCGATGGGATTTCCTGCATTGTTTGAATCTTTGCCACTGACCTTCGTGGTCCTTGTTCTGGTACTGCCTCTGCTCTGGCAGGGGTGCAAAGGGCATTATTGAAAGCCTGAAAGGAAAGAGAAAGAATTGCTTTAAAGGCATTGAGGGCTCTTTGTACTCGGTGGCTCCTGGGGTCATTGGTGCAAAAGGAGGGGAATTGCTGGGGTTTGGGGATAATTACTGCTTTTTCGTTGTTCTCATCCCACTCTAGATGACAATAGTGTGATTTGTAGTGAGTCATAAAAATAGGCCTTCCGTGCAGCCTTAAGCTTGTGTCGTCCCTTTTGGCTGAGGGGGGAGAAGCCTGGTTTTTGTTCCTCTTGGGAAGTCTCTACTCGGCTGTGCCCTGGGGCTTTCCCAGCTCCATACTGGGGGGCTGTGGAGGGCTCTGCTGGAGAGGCCGGCAGGGTTGTGCTGGAGCCCTGTTGCAGCCCATGCTGTGGGCACTGGTTTTGAGAAGATCCACCTAGAGGGTCACCCAGAGGGACATGAGCCATCTGCCTCATCCCACGGGAGGTCACGGAACCCACTCCTGCCTCCGCCCCCATCGCTGCGGCCGCGGCTGCTCTGTGATGGTAAATCATTTGCTCAGCCTCTGCCTGCAGCCTTGTACCTTGAACCTGCTGAAGGTCTGGTGCAGGAACAGAGCTGTGCTCAGCTCTGCAAAGGCTGATTGCGTGGCTTTGTGTTCTTCCCTTTTCCATCTGGAGCCTTCCTACCCCTGTCAGGTGCCTGCAGTTGGTCTGGAAACAGCCTCGTGAAGGTGTCCCTGGTGTGGCTGGTACTGATGAGAAGGGCAGATCTTTGCAATGAGATACAACTTCTGCATTATTGATTCATTTGCATGGTATTGTGCAGGCTGGATTAAATTATCTGTAGTGTGATCCTGTACCTGATGTCATGGAGTAAATGCCAGAGTGCTCAGGTTGGAGTAAGTGCTTTGTAACTCTGGCCTTATAAGTCCCTCAGGCTCTGGGGTTTGTTAAAGGGTTGACAGTGGTGCCGAGCTGTCCCACTGATCCTGTACCTCACCCTCTGCATTGCCATAGGTCTGTCTCCTCTGGGATTTGTACCCAGAAGAGAAGAGGCCTCTGTGTGGGACAGGGACAACCTGGGGAGCTGCAGCTGCCTGAAGGAGCTTGGCCTCCCAGGGTGACTCATCTTGTGTTTCACTGGACCTGTAAATGAACTTGGGCACGAAACACGAGATGCAACAAGCCCAGTTGCTGTTGGAGTTGAAAGCCCAGGCTCTCTGCGCTGTGTTAGTGCTGAGTTTAAGCTCTTTTCTGCTGGGGAAGTAAAAGGCTCCAGTGGACAATCCAGGCACGTGACTGCTGGGCATGGTCATGGAAAATTGGCTCGGTTGTCATGTTTATTTGCTCTGATATGACTTTTCATAACACTGTCATGCAGCTTTTTCCAAGCCCACTGGAATGTGTTATTCTTTATTTCTTCCCTTCTGCTGTTCTTTTGAAGAAGCACTGTCAGGCAATCTGTGTGTAGCATTGATTTTTATTATTGTTGTGGGTAATGAGGTACAACCTTCTCTAACTGACTAGCACTCTTTTTTTCCCCCTTTTATAGCACATTAGCACAGAACCCCTCTGTTTCTTGTAGCTGTAGCTCAAGATTATGATTTATAGCAGGAGAAACTAAAATAGCAGTTGTTAGCTCTTCCAGTCTGATAAAATCAAATTTGCCTGACTTTAGTCTCAATTCCTGCCTTGTTTTTTCTCCGGGGAGGGAAGTCATCACTCTCTTGCCTTCTGCAGGGCTGGGTTGCTGAACTTATCCAGTGTTTTGTCATCTGAGAAGGTATTGAATAGCTTTGGTTTGTTCCTATACAGAATATGCTGGTGTTTGTCTCTCTCTCTGTCCTGGAGCAGCTCAAGTGCACGTTACAGTAGGGAACAGCCCTATGTTGGGATATAAAGGTCACAAGTCTTTCCTTTCACCTCTCCAGCCGGGAGTCAGGCTGACATGCACAGGAGGTGGCAAGAAGTCTTTGCAGCAAAAGGAGCTTTTGGGGTGTTTTTCTTGAGGGAGACCTATAGACCAGTCAGTCCTTTCTGCGTGGGGTCTGTAGCCTTCTTTGTCCAGCTCTGGCACAGCTGATTCCCTCCTCTGAAGAAGAATTAGTGCTATTCCTGCATCCCACAGTCTCTCCTCATTGCTCCGTGTGGGAGACCTCCAGCACCAGCAGCTCTGTGACAATACACTGGTTTGCTCACCTCCCATTAAATGTTTCCAGCGTGACTATCAGGTAGTAACAACAATATTTTAATGGATTTTTTTTTTTAATACATTCCAAAATGTGTTTTAACTTCTCTGTCCGTTGTTGCAGGTGAAGGGGGAGAAGGGTGTCTGAATACCCACGAATGAGCTGTGATGGATAACAAAGATTCAGAAGCTGAGATCCACCCTCTGAAGACTGAGGATGCAAAAGCTCAGGAGAACCATGAGAACTCTGTGGAGAGGAGGATCATCAGCAAGCAGGCGGCGGGGCTGTCCCGGCTGTCCCGCTGGCGCACGGCCGCCTTCTTCGTCTCCCTGTTCCTCTGCCTGGTCATTGTCTTTGCTTTCTCCTTTATCATCCCTTGCCCAGAGAGACCATTGTCAGCAACAACGTGGTTCCAAAACTACAACAACGCAGGTGAGTTTGCTGTAGCACAGCAAGTACTTACCAAGAGTCCTTTTGCTTTCTGTGCCACGAATTTGGGTTGTTGGACCTCCACCTAAGCACGACGTGGAGCCAGACCTGCAGGAGTGCTGCCCTTGGGAGCCTGAGCTCTGAATACCTGACCTGGATAAGCAGTGGCCTGGCATAATTGGAGTGGCCTTCCAGGAGGTGTTTACAGGAGCTAGTGGAGAAATTAGATGCTGCTCTGAAGTACTGACAAGGTAGCAGGCTGGCCTCATTTGTTAAAAAAAAAAGGGGAAGGGTATCTGGGAATGAATCTCTGTTGAAGTTTGCTCTGTAAAATGTTCCCTTGAAGTTTGAGCTGAGGTTGGAGACAATTAGGCATTTTTTCTTACATCCCTATGACTTTCTCCCTTTTCCCCATGACCAACAGGAAAGGGGAGAAGAATTCCATCTTGTTGTTTTTATAAATTGTTTTATAGTTGCTATTGCTATTTTTATTCTAGTTGCTTTGGTTGGCTCTTCAGCCTGGGTCCTGCTCCCCAGTGGCTCAGCATTGGCTTCTGGGAGAGCTGTTCTTTAATCTTGTGTGCAGGAAGTGCTGGAAATGCAGAGACAGAGCTCACAGCAGGGACTGAGCTGTGTGTGGTACTGCAGGCATCCCAGGTGCTGCTGCTCTGAGCTCAAGAAGACTACTTTTAGCTGAGAGGGAGAAAGATGGAATATCTGGGTTTTCAGGGCGGGTTTTGGGTGGGTTTTTTATGCTTCAAGAATAGCAACCCCACACCAAGACCAGAGTTGTTCTTAGTTCAACGTGGTTCAAATTCTGGCTGCTTGGCTATAAAAATAGATAAATCCATGGGGGGATAGCAAATCTAAAAAATCCTTTGGCAATAACTTCCTGTCCCTTGGTACTCGTGTACGTGGCATTTTTAAATACAAAATCCAATTTGTCCTAATGTTACACTGTCCGAGATGGAGGCAGTGAGTAGGTCTCTAGGAATTTGTGTTTTGCTCCAGCCAGCTCTGCCGTGGGCTGAGGAAATCCTCACCAGAGCCTGGCTTGTGGTCTCTTACAGTGGCCTACCAGTTCCTTGCTTTGGAAGATGTGAACGAAGACAAAGTGCATGATGTCCTCTTTGTTTTCAAAGCCAACAACGGCAGCAGCAGCTTCAACAGCTCCTGCCTGGATGAAGGTAGCTGACTCAGGGACAGAAAACCTTGTAGTGAGGGCTGTCCTTTCTCTTTTAGTTCTAAGTAGTGAGTGACTGGGAGATAAAACTGGGTGAGCTGGGTGGGGAGAGGAGCTGGGTGGGGAGAGGAGCTGGGTGGGGAGAGGAGCTGGGTGAGTCCCAGCTCCCGGCGGTGTTGCGGGGCAGCAAAGGTGGTGCAGGTAGAGCTCCCTCTGACATCTCTTCTCCTCAGGGCTGCCTTCTCCCTGTGCCTTTGTTGCTGCTGTGTCTGGCACGAACGGCAGGGTTCTCTGGGAGAGTCCTGTAGCCGAGGATGTGGAGTGGATGGAGTGTGGCATCCGGCAGCTCGGCAGGGCGGGGGCCCCGGGGTGCCTGGTGGTGGGGAAGCCGGTGGCCCTGACGGCCCTTGACCTGCGGACAGGTGAGTGTGGGCAGGGTCCTGCTGCCAGCCAGGGGACAGGGCCCTGGCAGTGTGACATGACTGGTACATGAACAAAGGGCACCGAGTGTTCATTGACTTGAAAACCTCACTGGGTGTCGAGGAACTCTGTCAGCCTCGCTGTTCCAAAGGCTGGGCTCTGTGCTGGGGGTTTGTGCCAACCAGTGTTTCATAAGACCAGCCTTCCAACAGCTTTCTGAACAGGAGGAGCAGTCAGTAGCTGTGAATGTTACACTCTCAGGGGCTGGACACACACCTCCACCTGCAGTGTTTCCCAGTTATTTGCGTGTGTGTGCCAGAACCGCCTGCAAGTGGCAAGAGGAGTGGGAGTTCTAGAGGTTTATGATTTTCAAGTCATCAAGGAGAGCACTTAGATAAGTACTTGCCAGCCTGTTTCAGTAGTCCAGGATTTTGCCTGGAAAGGTTTCTTCCTTTCTGAGCCTAGAGATAGAGAAATTCCTCATCATCTTGCCCAACATGGGGTGGGGTAAGGAGTGCCTGTACTGCTCTAGGAGCAAAGATCATCTGCTGCACCTTGAACCTCCCTTGCTGACGAAGCCTAAAATACATTTCCATTTTGGGGATCACTGTTTCAGAGGTCTGAACAATGCATGTTCTCCCTAGGATCCCGTTTTCTGTATCTGGTATTGAAACCCTCACACGCTGTTTTCCAAAAATTGTGAGAGAGAAAAAGCAAGAGGTACAGCTCTAAAGAACCTGAGGAAAATCTAGAGTAGCTTTTAATTTCCAGTGTAGATGGAAGTGTAGGTGCACGCAGCTAGAAAGTTTCTGTACCAATGGAGATATCTTAGCACTATTTCTCTCATGTGTAGGCCTTAGCACAGGTTATTTTTAGACTATTAATGAAGTAGTTGCTTTAGGTCAAAGTGTAGAAAGTTGACTGCTGAGCCAAAGGGCTGTAACTAAAGACAGCCATAAAGAAGTAGCACAAGCATGGAGAGAAGGAGCCAGGCTAAGCTACAGGTCACGGCAATACAGTAAAGAAAACATTCCATAGATAACTTAAAAGCAAGAGAGGAAAACATGCTTCAGATAGAGAAGTGGATAACCCAGAAGTTTACGTATTTGATGCCTTTTTGCTGTTAAGTAGGTTAAAAGCAGTTTCTGAGCGTGGTTGACTTTTACTGGGGGTTAGGAGGGCAGAGTAGAATAAAATGTATTTAAATAGGCTAAATGTATTCAAAGAGGCAAAGTCTGACTTACATCACTGTGTGCTAAAAACAGTAGCCAGCACAATCTTTAGCTGTTAATGATTCATCATCATGGAGGATTTGATGAGATTCCAGGGCTCTCAGGCTGTCTAGCCCCTGCCTGTAGGAAGATTGAAGTAGAGATAGGCAGATTATCATCTGAAAGTGTCTGATGTGGTTTTGATCATTAAATGCTGATAAAGTTAGTGTTTTTCTGTCAATTCAAGTTGTGTTAAGTCCTGCTTTCTTCACTGCCAGAAGAAGTGACCTAAGCAAACAAGAAGGGAAGTGTAGGAGTGCAAGCTGCTGTTTGTGTGGGACATCTAACATTCTTGCATGTTTATCTTGCCAGCAAACTGGGACACAAGAGCTTAAGATTAACTGTTCCAGGTCAAAGCAAAAGTCTTTGTAGCTGTGTATTCCCTCTCTACCAGGGCCAGGAGCAGAGTCTTGAGGAAGAGGATGGGAGTAAGTGTTTTGTTACACCTTCTCTCTTCACCTGATCCTCCAGCAGCCTGCACTGTGAACCCTCTGGTCAGCTCTGGTCTCCTGAGGGATCTGGCAGAAAAAGCAGCACGATGATCAGATGTGTGGAATTGCTTCTGTGTGAGGAATCACTAAATAAACCAGAACTGCAACCTGGAGAATGTCTGTCAGGGAGAAAAGTCTCTGTGTCCTCTGCAGCTGCTCGAAGTGAGAGCTGAACTCAGTCATCTAAGTTCCAATTTTATTACTCCTTCCAGACAAAAAAAAAAACCCAACCCTTTCACCCAGGTTAGATTTGCAGTCTAGGCACTTGTCTAATTTCCATCTTGGCTCCTCTTGCTGTGCCTCTGCTGTGACCCCGGGCTCTGAGGAAGCACCACAGCACTCAAGGTGTCAGACAGGATTGTCCCATCTCCCGGTGATGGAGCAGGAGGGGACTGGTTTCACAGTTCCTGCTCTTTGGGGGTTGGGTTAGAGCATGAAAAGCTTCTCAAGTGCTTGGTGCTGAATCTGTCTCACTGTTACCTGTTTCTGTTAAGTCAGACTGTTCTTTTAGGAGACTGAGATGCTTTCTCCTAAAGTGCTCTCTGACCAGCAGAGATTAGAGCTTTATGCATTAGCAGTGAATTTCATCAGCCTGGTCTGTCTTTGGTACCTTTGGACTGTGCTGAAGCCAGGATGTTGTAATTTAAAACTCCAGTTCTCTCCTTCCTCTGCCTGCTTAGTGTCTTCAGGGGCAAAATTCTTTGCCTTCCCATGATTTCCTAGAGAAACTAGGAAATCTGCTCTCTTCTACTTCACATCTGTTGTCATAGTAACAAATCCAAGTGGTTTTTTTCAGTGTTGCAGTAAAAGCTTTGGAGGAATCCTACTGGAAATACATCCTGCCTTAAATTATTGCAGACAGCATCAGGTAGTAATTCCTTGGCCTTCAGTCCAGCTGCCTTCCTGACAAAGAGCAGATGATTACTTTGCATTCCTGACATGATAATTGCTGTGTAAAGGGAGGGTCAGCATTTCCCCTATGGGCACCTTGTAAGAGACTGGAGTGTTCCTTAAAACCCCCCAGCAGTGTCCTCCCCACCAGATTCCACTGGAGATTCCACTGGGCAATGACTGGAAAGTGGCCAGCAGCCGTGGACAGAGTGGATGGAGTGGAGCCACTCAACTGTTCTGGAGCTGTTGAAGAGAAACCTACCCCACCCCCACCCCCATTTTTTTAAAAAACAAAGGTTTTCTACCTCAGTTTACAAACAAGTTTGTGTTCTTCAAACGGGGGAGAGGTGGAATGTGGCCAGAGATGTGGCTGGTCATGGTACATCTGCAGGAACATTCTGCAGGAGGCAAGTTGCAGGAAAAAAGGTTTTGCCAGGAGGAGCTGCAGCACTGTGGTCAGAATTCAGCTGCTTTATGGTCTCAAAATGTCTGTGCAGATTTAGGTGCAGAGCAGCAGAGATTTAGATCCCAGCAAAGGATTCTCTATGCCATGAACATGCTGGGAAGCTTGTTAACCTAAGGCAAAAGGAAGGCAAGCTGTTCTTTGTGCCAGGGTTTTGGGTGCATTCCTGCAGGCAGCTAGGGTTACTTTCCAGTGGAAGATGAAATTGTGGATACTGGGATTCATTTGGAATGCAGAAATGCAAGGAAGTACCCCATGATGAGCATAAATGTGGCTGGTTTGTGGTGCTGATGGGCTGGAACAGGAGCATTCAACCTGAAGTGCCTCTCAGTGACTGTTTCACACTGTCTTCTAGGGGAGGTTCAGTGGAGACAGTCCAGTGACTTTGGAGCTAATTACACTCTGCTGACTCCTGTGGCAGTGATTCCAGATGTGGATAATGACGGAGTACAGGACCTGGTAATCTTTATTGCTACAGGAAAGAAGGTATGTCCTCCTGAAGCTCTGATAACCCCAGTGGCTGGACCACAGGGCATGGCAGGAATGCTGTTCATTTCCACCTTGTGGTCCAACAGGAAGTGTCCAGAAGCCTCTCATTTCTGTGGGTTTGGGGTGGGTTCTTTCTCACCCTCCAGGGATGTACTTGCAAATCAATGCAAGTGTTTTATGGTTTAAAAAAATAAAGTAAAGAGCTGGCCAGGAATCCCTCCCCCTGTTCAGTCTGCTCTCCTCACTGTGTGTTCCTGGGCTGCCTGTGGAGAGAGCCTGGGCAAGATGAGCTTGCAGTTTTCTGCTTCTCTGCTCAGAGAAGTGGAAGTGAACAAACCCTGACAGCTTTGGCTCTTAGATCAAAGCACAGCTGACAGACAGTGCTTTTGTACCACCACTGCCCTTCTCTGATCCCTCCCCTCTCTCTGCCTGTGGTCTGCTTTTGCACTGCTCTCTTGCCAGTGTCACTGTGCTGGTTAATTCTGACCTGGGTTCATTCAGTGCAAGAGCTGCTGGTTCTGTTATCTCTGTCCCAGTATTGCTTTTCCCATTTCTGAGAGGGGGAAAGTCATGAACTTAAACTGGTTTTGTACTAAATTACCTGCATCTGTGATTGAGTGGCACAGCATTGCCTGCATGCCTGGTCTGTCCTGCTCAAAGCACACAAGTTACAGCTCCCTGCAAGTCTCATGGGAGCAGTGGGAGCCCCATGTCCTCATACCAGAGTCACAGAATCACAGGTGGAAAAGACCTCCAAGGTCACCAAGTCCAACCTGTGCCCCATCCCCGCCTTGTCACCCACACTAGAGCACTCAGTGCCACGTCCAGTCATTTCTTGGACACCTCCAGGGATGGTGACTCCACCACCTCCCTGGGCAGCCCCTTCCAATGTTTAACAACCCTTTCAGTGAAGAAATTCCTCCTAATAGCCTGAACCTCCCCTGGCACAGCTTGAGGTGGTTTCCTCTCATCCTGTCCCTGGGAGCAGAGCCCGACACGCCCCACCCCCGGCTCCCCCCTCTTGTCAGGGAGTTGTAGAGAGTAGAAAGGTCATTCCTGAGCCTCCTTTTCTCCAGGCTGAGCCCCCCCAGCTCCCTCAGCCGCTCCTGATGCTCCAGACCCTTCCCAGCACCATTCCCTTCTCTGGACACGCTCCAGCCCCTCAATGTCCTTCTTGTCATGAGGGGCCCAGAACTGGGCACAGGAGTGGAGGTGTGACCTCAGCAGTGCCAAGTACAGGGGGACAGTCACTGCCCTGGTCCTGCTGGCCAAGCTGGAGCTGGTATAAGCCAGGTGCCACTGGCCTTCTTGGCCAATGTCTTCCATAAGAAAATAGGGTTTTGCTGTCTGAGGCATTGTTGTTGCCAGAGTCATCAGAAATTCTATCCTCTCTGACTCCTATGGTTCTCTTCTGTTCCCTTTCCTCCTTGCTTTTGCTATCCCAGTTATCTCAAGACTTTTGTTTTTTTAATCTTAGCCAGCCAAGAAATGTTTGAATGTAGCCTCTGTTCTGCAAGGCTGCCTTTTGATCTGTTTTCCATTTAAGCTCTCTAGCTATCTTGGTATGAAATCCCTTCCTCCCTCTGGACTTGGCAAGCATTCTGTCAACTTAAGGAAAAGTATGTTCTTTTTTGAGAAATCACAAAAACTGTAGGGAGCTTGAGTGGAGCTGTGCAGCTTGGAAAGGGCAGTCTGGTCAGAAGAGAGATTCAGAACCCAAGTGAAGGAGCTTTGCTGCTATCAAGGGCTGAAGCTGAACGTTCCTGAAAGGGAGCAATCTGTGGGGAAGGGTCTGTTTGCAGGGGGTTTAGATGGCAGCTTTTTCAGAGAGCCTCATTGACCCCCTACCTTCTGCAAACTTCAGCACCAATACATCCCAGAAAATCCAGTTTTCAGGATCCATGACCTCTGGCAGCACACAGAGGGGTTGGGCAGTGCAGGGGGTGAGGTGGTGTGTGTTCTCTCTCCCTGTGTGAATATGTTTGGCTGTCACTGTCCCAGGGCAGCTGCTGGACCAGTGCTTGCCAGTAAAGGTGATCCTGGTCTACAAGAGCTGGTTTGTGTCTCCTCCCAGTGCAGGAGGCTGGGAACAACTGCTCTCCCTCTCCAGTTGTGTTCTCATTCTCCTCAGCAAACTTTATCCCATATTCACCTGCCAGACTCTCCAGATTCACTTCAGGAGCAGCAGATTTCCTTCGCTTCCCCAGCACATCCCTTTCAAGGAAGAGGGAAGGGTTCCTGCCTGACTCAGCATCTCTGTGGATGCTGTTTCTCTGAGTCTGATGTTTCTCTTTTCCCTAATGTGCATTGCTCTCCCCAGACTGTGACTGTTGCCCAGACATTTGAATCTGATCCTGATTTTAACCTTTATTCCCCTGGGTGAAATGTTTTCAGTGGATTCTTTACCCTGCACGAAGAATAGAAAGAGAAAGAAACCCATCAGCTCTTTTATCCCCTTGGACTTTACATCAGCCTTAGGAGGAGTAGATTAGGGCACTTAAAACATTTAGCAGAGCTGGCATGTGAAGCCAAGTTTCCCCTATGTCCATATGGTGCTTTGTTTCTGTCTTTAGCTGCTCTCCCTCGTTGTCCCCGCTCAGATCCATTCAATATCCAGGCTTGAATGGATCTTCACTGTCCCTGGCAGAGCTGGGGCTGCTGTTCAGCAGTCCTAGTCTGCAGGGCAGGTGGGTGGCAGAGGTAGCAAAATCTCAGGGTAAGTGGCTGTGCTGGAATTGGTTTTCAAACTTGCAGAAGTATTCACAGCAGAGGGGTCACCAAACTCATGTCCACTCCTCCAAAACCAGGGAGAGACTTCCCGTCCGAGCCTGTGCTGCTCCCATTCAGCTGCTGTTCAGTATCAGTTTTAACCTTGTTGTTTTTTGGTTTTTTTAATCCCTTCCCTGTGTAGATTAAGAGCTTCATCCATTCAGGAAAGAATGGCAAGCAGATTGGCTCCACTGGCAGCCTGGCCATGGATGGGAGCGCTCGCTACATCAGGCTGAACCTGGGCTCCTCCCCCTACTTCCTTTTCTATACAGGTACAGTTCTGCTTGGGAATTCAGTCTGGAAGAGTGATTGTAACTGTGAGATCGGGATTACTAAACATTTTTTTGACTGAGAGAGTGTTTTGCATTCCTAAAAGCCATGTGGTGCTTCCACTTGGCCGAAGAGCTGTTCAGGGCCAAGAGAAGGGGACTATGGCTTGTTACATACTGTAGTGATTTTATTTAACAAATGTCAGGCATGTAAGGATTAAGCAGTCATTTATAGCAAATGATTACTGTGGAGCACTTGGATTATGAACAGACAAGATGTTAAAAGCATTCAATAGCAGGCTTGAATCTCAAAATACCACTACAACTCTATGATGCAAGCCCTAAAAATATAGTTTATCTGCCAGATCTGGAAAAATCATACAGTTCAGAGCAAGGGCAGGAAAACTTATCTCTCTCATTCTTGCATTTATTTTTTTTTTTGCACAGAAAACTCTCTCTATGCATATTCCCTGAAAGATCTGTACAGTGCAGCAACTGGGATGGAAACTAAGCTTCCCAGCCTCCAGCAAGATCCTCAGTGGGAGAAGAGCATTGACAGCCCCACACACCGTGTATCCCATCTCAGGTGTGAGATTATGTCTTGGGGGCTGGTGGAGTGGAGGGTGCTGGTGTTGCTGTCAGGATGGGCTTCTGGGGCTTTGTTCTCTCCTGACTACGTGGCTTTTGGACTAGGAGCACATCCAAAGCTCAGGAAGAAGGCTGGTGCTAATGGCCTTGCCAGGGGTGGTTGGGGTTTCCTATTTGCATTTACTGTGCAAGGAAAAAACCCAAAACCTCACAGTGGAACCCTCCAAGAAAGCTTAATGATTTCTCTGTCCTTGTTCAGCTCTGGAGACTTTCGCTACCTGGCAAAAATTCCTGGGCAGTCACGGGAGAACATCTTGGTTGTAGACTCAGAGATGGCCACACTGATCAATGGAAAGAATCTCCAGACTTTGTGGACCCTCAATGTGTCCCATGCTTTGAGGTACTGTTCCCAGTGTGGGCTGGATGTGGCATTTCCAGGTTCCCAGCAACAGCAGTGTCCTGGCAGATGCTGTTTCTGTTTGTGCTTATTGTGTCACGTGCCCTCTGTTACCAAATGTCAGGGGCTGCTTCAGAACGGAGGAGCCCAAAGCTCTGATCCCTCATTCTGTGCCTGCTGTGACGTGGCTGGGCTCAGAGTTGGGGTGGTACCAGGCTGACCCAATGTTGTAGCAGTCGAGTCTCTTACCAGGGCAATTGTGGGAGGATAGAGGCTGCTTGGAAAGAGCAAGGTATGCCCAAGCCATTGGGGTGGGTTCTGATCTCTCCCTTCTCTTCCTCTCCCTCAGTGAGCCATTGCTCGGTTACTACAAACCTGATGTTCTTGGTATTGTCCTGGAGAGTGAAATTGGACCCAACAAGAAGAAGGTTTGAAATCTCTTCCTTTTAACTTCACTTTTCTCTGTATTTCCCAGCTCAAGCAGGCATTGAGTCAAGGACAGCTGGTGGGATGTGTTCTCTCTGGCTGATTTTAGGAGGCTTCAAGCTAGGAAAGAATCTCTTTCAACAGGTTATTGAAGCCAGCTCAGGCACTTTAATTCTCTTCTCAGCAAGAGGCTTCAATGACAGAACTTTGAACCCCTTGAAATAGCTGCAAAACTTTTGACTTGAACGTGGCCCACCCCAGGTCTCACAGCTCTGTGATGCTCCACTTCAAGTATTTCCTCATCTTCCCATCTGTCAGATACTTGTTCCCATAGATAGTGTGGGGAGAGACAGCTGACCTGACTTGTCTCTCATGGCTTGTTAGATCCCTTTGCTACGAGTTCCTTTCCTTTCTTCCCTGCTAGGTGATGATTGTTGAGAGTGCATCTGGAGCAGTCCAGTGGGACCTGAATCTGAACTCGGGAGCAGAGAGTCCCGGGCCAGCCACACTTTCCACTGCGGATCACCGGTCCACCTTCCTCATCTGGGGGGACTACGAGGAGCCAGGCAACGAGACAGTGAGTCCTGCTGCTGAGGGGCTGCTGTGCTCCAGACTTAGGGCCAGGATTGGGTGGAGCTACTCCCTTCTCCCAGATGACATTCTCATCTGTCTGTGCCACTGACGCTGCAGCCTCCGCACTGGGTGTGTGTGGGGTCTGCTGAAAGCACCCAGAGCCCTGTGTGTGATCTGGTCTCTGCTGGGTGCTCACAATGTCCATAGCAGTGTCCCTGCTAGCAGGTGGTGGCACCAACAGCTTTTGTCATCCTCAGGCTGGTTATGTAGAGAAAAGGAACTTGGTGGCTCTATGAGCAAAGTCAGTGGGTGCCCAGAGCCCTGCCTTGGTGTGGCACTGTGAGTGAGGTGAGAGGCTGCTGCCCTGGTACCTTTGGAGGTGCTGCTGTTTCTCTGGGAGCCTCCCATGGCAGCACTGCATGCAGTGATCTCCTGTGGCCATGTGAATATCCTCTCTCTGCCCCAGGCAGCTTCTGGCAGCCTCAGTGCACAGCTCAACTGCTGCAGAGCCCTCCGGGGCAGTGACAGGCAGTGTTGGTGACAGGTTGTGTCTCAAAGGGTGCTGAAGCACAGCTGAGCCTCCTCTGCTTTCCTCGCTTACTCTGCCAGCCCTGAGGTAAAAATCTGTCTCCTGCCTGCAGCAGGCAGGTCAGCTATTTTCAGGAAGCTTGGGGTGAGGAGGAGAGCACTGAGCAGAAAGCAAAATCCCAGCACTAGTTCCTGGTGACATCAGTCACGATGAGTTGGGCTGACATGGACAAGTGTCTGACTGGATGAATCCAGTCAAGCATGAGTAATAGCTGAGCCAGGTGCTGGTGTTGTCTCTGGGATAACGTGTGGGTCCGTGTCCTGATCGTGTCCTGTTGCAGAGATCCACAGCTCCCCTCCAGAAGCTGTACCTTTTCCATCCTTCCTACAATAACGTCCTCTTGGAGCTCCGCAATAACACAGACCAAATAATTGCATTCAGTGGTAAGTCCTCTCCTTCCAGCCCACCAACGGGGAGCTGTGGGAGGACACTGGTCCCTCCTGGCCTCCCTGGGTGTGTGGTGTTGTGTCTGGTGGCCAGGCCGAGCACGGAGAGCTTAGGCTGGGCGTTCCCTGTGCCTTGCAGCCGCGCTGTTCGAGCGGAGCCGTCACGCCTGCTACGTGCTGCTGAGGGGCCCCCGGCCCAGCCAGGAGCCAGGGCCCGTGTCACTGATGAAGAGGAAGCTGAAGGAGGATGTGTCAGAGAGCAAAGTGATCTGGCTGAACCAGGTGGCTGTGGACAGTGAGGAATACATCCGGAACCGCCTCTACAGGATGCGATTCCACAGCCGGGAGTGAGCCTGCCCAGGGAGGGGGAGAGGCTGCCTGGGGCCAGGCATCTCCAGGCTGCCTCTGCTCTGCAGCCGTGCTCTCAACAAGCCCAGATCATGGATTCAGATGGGAAGCTGCCTTTCTCGACCTGCAAACCAAAGCGTGGCTGGCAGGGAAGCGCCCCCAGTGTCTGGGGACACCCAGGCTGTGGGGGCAGCTGCCAGTGCATCCATCCTCAGTGCTGATGGGACTTCAGTGCTTGGCCACCACTGAGGTGTCGTCAGCTGGGGGAAGAGGGCTCTCCCCTCCATCCCTCTGTGCCCGCAGAACTGTGCTGACTCAGGAGTGTGTCTGGAGGAAAACATGTGCTTGCTGGGGATACTGGAGTGGATGATTTCTGGGGTGTTTGGAGCTCGATGTGTGGTGTTAGATTTCCTTTCTGAGTCAGCTCTCCTGGCTGGGGGAGAGGTGCTTGGCTGCAGGTTGGTTTGCAATCACCCTCCCCTGGATTTGGGCCCTGCTTCAGTAGTGGTGGGTGTGTGTAGTGCCAGACCCCAGCCGTGCCTGTCCGTGGGGCTGGGGGTCACCTGGGCCAGCAGAGCACAGGTTAAAGTGTTGTTCTACTTAGAAAATGGCCTTTTCTATTAAGAACAGCCCCACATGCCCTACTCTGCAGTCACCAGCCTGCCTGTGTCTGTCTCCTCTGCTGCCTCCTTCCCAAGCAGGCTGTGCAGTGTTGGTGACACTGAAAGGGAGCTGGTCCTCCCTGCCCTCAGTCTGATTATAGGTGATGAGCCCAAGGTGGCTGGTCCCTGGTGGTACCAACACCACCTCTCCTGATTTAAAGGAGCCAGAGGATCTAGGACATTTTTTTTTTCAGAGTAGAATTGCACTTTAACCTTTGCTGGGAGCTGGGATTGCTGCTCTGGGAAGCCCTGTACCCGAGTGGCAGTGCCAGCTCCCTGCTCATTCAGCCTTGCAGCTGCTGAGGAGCCTTCTCCAAGCACTGTCCCCTCTGCCAGGAGGTGGGCAGGAGCTCCATGCTGCTTCCCTGCCCTTGGAATTGAAGTGATGCTGGGTGGGGATCCTCGGGTGCCTCTCTGCCCAGCCCAGTATCCTGAGGGATGGGACAGGTTGCTGTGAGATGACGTGTTCCTCCTGGAGATCTGTGTAGCATCAGGGGCTGTTTGCTCTGCCCTGTCCTGGTGGGTGCCAGTGCAGGCTGTAGAAACAAGGTGCAAAGCCTGGAAAAGGGATTGAACTGCCTGCTCAGTCCTGAAGATAAAAATTAACCCTAAAAATAACCTCTCACAGGCTCTGCCCCCTCTGCCTGGAGGGGGTTTGGCCAGTGCCTCCCTCCCCTGCCGAGTCTCACACTGGGGGATGTGTAGAAACACTGTAGGATGGGAAACAATGCCAGGCTGTGCAGGGTCGGGCACTGGCTCTTCCCTTCTGCTGAGTCTGAGTGTGCCACAGGGCAGCTGCTGTCACCAGGCTCATGGCACAGCTTCAGCCTTCCCAGTCTGAAAGCACGATGACCTGGGCTGCTGGACACACACCTCCTGCTTCCAGCTGGCCTGGTGGCTGCCTAAAGGGTGCCCTGGCTCCCTCTGCCCAGTGACCAGTATCCCAGGCAGTCAAGGGAGCCAGTCCTGGGGCATCCAGGCTGTGCCAGGAAGCCAAGGATGCTCCCTGGCAAGCACACCACAACCTTCAAAGCACCCTGGGCTCAAAATGGTGAGTTTCCCTCTCTTCCTCTCTTCACAGGCTGTTTTCTGAGGGAGTCTGGGGTCGCAGGGAGGTTTCCCTGCTGTGTCCCCCACCCTGGGTTGCCTCTTTGCTCAGCACCTGAGGCCTGGCAGCCCCACAGGTCCCCATGCCAGCATTGCAGCCATAAGAGGCTCCAAGGGCCAGATTCAGGCTGCCCTTCAGCCACCTGGGGCAGAGCAGGAGTGTGGCTGCAGGTGCTGGGCAGGGAAACCCCAGGCTTGCATATTAGTCCAGCCCGAGTGTTGGATTTGGATTGTATCCCATTGAGATTCCCCTGGCAGGGATTGAGGTGCCTGGGCTGTATTCTCATCACGCTCTCCCTCCTCTGATCCCTTTCCCATAGGCACACTGAATGTTCCTTCAGGGGAGCTGGATTTTCAGCTTTGGGGAGCTTTTCTGGCTTTAAGTCGTCCATTAATGTTTCCAGGTACTTTGGAAACGCAGATTTCCCTGTGGCAGCTCAACTAAACGCATCAGTGCCAAACCAGCACCTTCTTAACAAAACCAGTCCTCTCTCCAGCTTATTTTCCTGTGTAATTGTTTTTTTGCGGTATTTTCTGAATGACTTCGTGCCTTGATTCAATGACCCAGCTGGGTGGCGATGGTGTATTATCACTGTGTTCTGTGTTAGCGTGGTTTTTAACACTGAGACTGTTTGGTTTGGTTCTTTAACTTATTGCAAATTGTGCCGTACGGGACTTGCTCTAACCGGAATGGTTTCAATAAACGCTCTTTTGCATTGTTTGTAAATGGTGCCCTGCTTTGGTGTTGCCTCTGGGATTTTGGCAGCCCTTTGGGTGGCTCCTGAAGGCGGAAACCCCCCCTTTTCGGGAGGGACCCAGGTGTCCTGGTGATGCATGGATGGCTGAGGTGCTGCCTGCTGCCCGGCCTCACTGCGGGCAGCGATGGAGCGAGTGGAGGGAGGCTGGAGTTAGATAACCAGGCTGGGCCAGCCCATCCCTGCCCCCCACCCGGGGCTCCGTGACCTGGTTTTACACCCCAGATTCCTGCTGCAGTCCATCAGCAGGAAAATCTCATACCGGGGCTTGGATTTGGATCAAGCCGGAGGGAGACGCGTGGCAGGCGCTGTCTCCGGGAGCGTGGGACCATCTGTCACTGCCCGGTGCCTGCCAGCCCAGGGCCCCGAGCCCCATCCTGTGACCGAGGCTCCAGCAGCTTCCACTGCCCCCGGGCTCCTCCGTCTGCCCCAGCACTGAGCTCAGATTGCCCCCTGCTCCACGCCAGGGATCCCAGGCTCTGTGGCAGGGAAGGATATCATAATGCCCAGCATCCCAGGGACCACAGTGTTTGTTAGCAGGGATATGGACTGGAAACACCCCCAGCCTGCTCTGCTCTGTGGGTCTCTGGGTGCGTGTGGGGCGGGCTGGGCTCCAAGGGTGAGCACTGGGGGGCACCAGCCCCCCTCTCCTTTATGTAACCACCACTGATAATCCCCCACAGCTGGGGCTCGGCTCCCAGGAAGGGAATAATCCTGCCGTGAGATCCTCGCCCTCTGCTCAGATTATCAGTCCACGGGCAGGGAGAGTGGCTCAGCTGCCAGCCCTGCTCCCTGCCAGCCCGCAGGGCCCTGGCAGCCCGGGTTTGCTGGCCCCTGGCATCTCCAACCCTGCTCCCAAGATGGTCCTCCTGGCCTGGGGTTTGCACTTGCTGGGTGCTGCAGGCACGGGGGAGGGACAGGACACAGTCCAGCCTGGAGAGGTGGCCAGCACCTTGTACACTTTGCACCCTGCTATGGCCTCCCTTGTCCCCCTTGCCCAAAAACCGCGGGAGCCTCAGTGTTTCCCCATGGAGGCTTTATTGTCCTGTGCCCGGGGTGGGGGCGGGAGGAGGGGGTGACCCCGCACCAGGCCGGCTGGGTGCGGGTTCCCCGAGGGAGGGGAGGGTGTGGAGATGTGAGCGGGGGCTGCAGCGGGGCCAGCCTGGCCCCGGGGGTTGCTGGGGGGGATATGGCTTCTCTCCTTCAGTGCTACTGCCGGCAGGGTCCTGCGGCGGGGCTGGGCTGTGCTGGGTCAGGGGGCTCTCATGGTGGCGGGGGGCTGCAGCCTCAGCTCTCCTCCTCGGGGACGGGGGCAGTCGAGGGTCTCCTGCCCCTCTCCTCGGCATCGCCCGCGGGCAGGAGCAGGGCCGGGCTGGGGCTGGAGTGCCGCTGTTTGCGCATGAAGGGGAAGACCCTGCGGGCAGAGCGGGGTCAGAACCAGGAGGGACCACCCAGCGCCCCAGGGGGACGGTGCCTGCCCTCACCGCTTCTTGGTCTCCGGGGGGATGATGGCCTCGGCCAAGAGGTTTTTGTAGAGGTCCGACTTGAGGAACCGCGGGTAGGAGTCCTGGGCGAGCAGAGGCGTCAGGATCCTGCCCAGCCCTGCCCACCCAAGCCCTGCCCTCACCCACCTTCTTCATCAGCATGTAAATGTGCATCTGGGCGTCGTCCATCACGTAGCGATGGGGCGTCTTGATGCCCTCCAGCGTCCGCTCCATCGTCTTGCTGTCGATGTTCACCCAGCGCGTGGCCCCGGGAGCCAGGAATTGTCTGGGGAATCACAAACAGTGCTGAACCCGGCCCCGCAGTGAGACCCTCCCCCAAACCCTTCCCCCCAAACGCTGGCCCCGCTGGCACTCACTGGTAGATGGAATCCACGATCTCGGCGATGCGGGACTGCTCCCCGTAGCGCAGCTCCTCACACGCCTCCCAGAAGCTCAGGTTCTCGGCTGGGGAGGGGGATGTGGCTCTGGGCACCCCCCATGGGCAACCCATCAAGGCCATTGTGGCTGGGCATGTGGCCCTGCAGCCCCCCTGGGACTGGGGGATGGTGTGGGGCAATGGGTCCAGGGGAGCGTGGGGCAGGTTAGTCAGGAGGTGCTGAGACGGGGTGGTAGATTTGGAATGCCAGCATGGGGAGGTGGGTTGTGTGATCCCAGGACAAGGCCATGGGTTGGTTTGGTGGTGTTGGGATTGGCCAGTGGGTTAAGCACTACTGGGACACGGTGGTGGGTTTGGAGGTGCTGGGATGGAGTGATGGGTCTGGGGGTGCCAGGACACAGCAGCGGGTTTGAGGGTGTGGGGCTGGGGCCGCTCACCACTGAACTCCTTCTTGAGGAATTCGAGGAGCTGTGCCCGGCCCAGGGGATCCATGATGAGCTCGCTGAAGTTGAAGCCCCAGCGCTCCACGCGCAGTTTCGTGGGGGTTGTCACCCTGCAGGCAGCAGCAGCACTGGGGCTGGCAGCCCATGGCTGCCTGTGTGACCCCACACCCCATCCTTGGGTCAGGGTACTGGGGGGTGCGGGGCGGGGGTGCTTACGTGGGGGCGTTCATCACCCAGTACGTGGTGTCGTCCGTGATCCAGGGGTTGCTGGGCAGGCAGCCGGACATGATGGGGTCGTGGGGCACGTACTGCTCATTGAACTTGATGTACCTGCCGGGAGCGGTGGCTGGAGGCGGCCGGGGCCACCGACCCCAGGCACCATGGGGACGCCACGGGGATGTGGTGGGGACGTGCCTGGGCTCTGCAGAGCCTCAGCTCCACCCCTGCTGAGGGTTATGGTGCTGTGGTGCCGCCCGCCAGCTGCAGCAATGTGGGTGCCCCTGTCACCCCAACAGGGACCTGGCCCGTGGCCGGGGCAGCCACTGCCACTCACCCCTCGAGGCAGATGGAGGACTTCACCCTGGTCCTGGCCATGGCCTTCCTGCAGTACTCAATCTGGGACCAGATGCAGGGGAGATATTGGGGTGCCTGGCAGCCTGTGACCCCCAGGAGCCACCCCCAGCCCTTGCCCCACTCACCTCCCGCTTGTAGTAATCCATGTTCTTGTTCTGCAAGAGACAGGCAGGGCCGGGTGAGGGCAGGGGAGGGCCAGGACATCGTGTCCTGCCATCACCACCCTGGCAATCCAGGCATCCAGTCCCCC